CACCTGGATGTCCAGGCAACTAAGAGAAGCAGTATTCCCATAACCTTAAGAATGGGCCTACGTGTGCAGAATGATGCTTTGTTATATAACATCTTGTCATCCTGCTGACTTTGTGTGCTTTTTGTGTAAAAGAGAGTTGGGACTTCCTGCAGTGCAACAAGTGGCTTGTGGCATGCATGGATCACCCCACCCTTGAATAAAAGTGTGTCAGACATTCTCACATCTCTACAAATTTTCTCCCATCTGTCCAAATCCTGTATGAAGCTGCCTGGCCTTGAAATGCTGCAAGACACCACCTCTCCAAAATTCAAAAGTCTTTGACTGTCATGGCCAGCTGTGGTCCTCCTCTTTCACCAGATCCAGGTGCAGATAGTATCTCTCTCACCCTCCGGCACTCTCCTGGTTGGTATTTACTGCTGCAGCTATGAGTGTGCAGCTAGCTGTGTGTGTGTGTACAGCCTGGTTCTTCCCAATGACTTTTTATATCCAAGTTGCTCCTGGCCCAGGTCTGAGGATTCCCTGTCCTGGGAAGAGAAGGGGCTGCTAAGCTACAATCTATGACAGATGTAGGTGCCCCAGCTACATGCACTACATAGCTGCTAGCACTGGGACTACTGGCTCTATGTCTGGGGATTTTCCCTGACCACCCATAAAGCTTCCTTGCTCCCTGTTTAGAGTCTTCTGTACTCTTTGGCTTCCAAACTTCATATCAGCTAAGATTCTGTTGACTGTTCACTTAATTTTTCAGAAAATTACCTAAGTGTCCAAGTCGGGTGCAGGAGCAAATAGACTTGGCTTCCATCTACATGGCCTCCATCTTCCACCTCCCTTTTAAATTTTTAAGATCCTTATGTTATCTCTGTACCTTTGTTAAGTTATATTGTATAGTGCAATAGCATCCTTTGAAACACCAAAATTTTAGCAAAGTGATCAACAGCAATAAACTGAGGTCTGTCACAAGGAAAAGCAAAGATAGCTGATACATCAAAGGTTGAAATATCAGTGAATGCAAGGGAGATCAAGATAAGATCATGAGCCACAGTGATATCTGAATCCAAAGAGTAAATCTATATAAAATTTTGCATGAGTGCACAAATTGCACAAATGGGAATTGCAGAGAGTTAAGAAACAAATCTGGGAGATTGAGGTGAATTTCCAGCACCATATTCTTCAAAGAGAGAGCCTTTATTCTCATAACAAAGGCTAACTCTCAGCCACACACACCAGTCCATTGAAATACTTTCATACTACTGGTAAATGGTTACTGTCCTAAATTCCCTATCCCTCCCAGCCAACCCGGCATTCCAGCGACTTAAGTGATAATATCTGACACAGCAGAGAAGCCCCCAAACCCTTTTCCAGCCCCATAACCCACAACTAGTCTAACTGCTTTATTTCCACATTCTACTGGTGGTTAAGTACAGTGGTTAGTAATCGTTCCCACAGGTTGCCTCCACTGACCTTTCATGGTGCTCTTAACCATCCTGTTATAACAGCATTTAAACTTACGTCTTATTAATCTGAAAATGTCATCCATGTCCTTATGTTTGCATTATGACTATAAAATGATATACAGCAGTCAATGGAGGTTGCAGTTGATTCTGCCAATTCTGAACTGAAAAATATTTTGCTACTTCTTTTCTACTAATTCCTGTGCAGCTTCCTTCTAAATACTTCTAAAAAGAGCCAGAAATTTTTTACTGGACATTTATTTATCTCTAAGGGACTATAGTAAAAGCTATTATATATAAACATAGAGCTAAACGGAGCATCACAGTTGAAACAATAAAACTATTTTATCACACACTGGTGTAATGTTTCCCCCTTCCCCATGGGCCTATTATCAACTCAAAATTCCAGTTTCCTCTGGAAATTCTGTTTCTTATTGAAATGATTGGATTTTCTCAATAAAATAACTCAAATAAATTCATTTCATATCAGCATACCTGTGGGACATAAAATTAGAGAGCTGCTTACACTAGATGTCCGGGAAAAGCTTGGGAAATCCTTTTACAACATTGCTCTCAGTGTCCTCCATGAAAATGGGTGTATAGATGAGATCAGAGTGTTTCCAACTTTGTAACAGCATAAAACTCTCTTCAAAGAAAATGTTGCTTGAAAGGTGAACAGATAAACAGGGCTTCTCCTGCCTTCTCCTCCCCTGAAGGGGAGGCAGAGTACTGTCAGCTTGAACCCTCCTCTGCCTCCCAGTAAACTGTGAGATACCCTCAAGGAACTGCTTAAGATTCTACAAAACACAGTGTGAAATCCACCAAATATATGATCACTAAGATGTAAAATTCTAAAAACCCTCAAAATTCTATTAAGTTATACAACGTATTCCTATTGCTTGGGTTTTTCATGTAGGCTAAAGGAAGATTCCAATGATAAAGGCTACACTACTATAGATTCATAGCAGAGAAAAACATTATATTATCCATAATATAAAAGAAATGACAAAAAGTAGGCAAAGCCATGCCAATTTAACTCATTCTGAATCCCTCATATCTTATAATTCCAACCAAATATCAATTGAAGATAAAGTAATATTAGGAAAATAAAAATAATTATAATAAAGGTCACATCGACCATGAACATTTAGCCATGGTATGTGTTTATATGTATGTATATACATATATACACACACATTTATACATACTTATACATGCTTTGTATATTTATATATTCATACATATTCCTCTTCCAATTTTTCTTTTGATTGTTTCACTTTGGGAGCTTCTTCATTTCTCACTAGCTCTAAAAAAATTTTGTTTTAGATTTTTATTTGTTTTTAGAGACAGAGGAAGGGAAGGAGAAAGAGAGGGAGAGAAACATCAATGTGTGGTTGCCTCTCATGTACCCCATACTGGGGACCTGGCTCACAACCCAGGCATGTGCTCTGACTGGGAATTGCAGTTCACTGAGCTACACTAACCAAGGCCTGTCTGTCACTAGATCTAAGTTAGACCCCAAAAGCCACTATTCCTATATACTGATTTCAGTTATTCTTTGGTGAACAGTTTTAGTCCAATGATTTGAGCAACTTGAGAATAGTTGGAAACTTCACAAGATCTAATCATACTGCAAGGGTGACAACAGTTATCTGTTAAAAAATGTAAATGCAATCACAAGATTAGTGTGCTCACAATAATTCTTAGCTACCCACCTGCCCTAGACTCAACCCAAGACCTTTCATAATAGGACCCTGGGAAGCTCACCAGCCTTGTATCCCACTCTTCCCCTACCCACTTTTGCTCCTGGAGTGGCAGCAGGCCTTGTCTCTGTTCCACATCCTCCCCCATCTCTCAGCCTTAAAAGGACATGTTTTCAACCAGCTGCTTTGCCAGTCTTCATCTTGCAGATCCAGAGTGGACCTCACTTCTTCAGAAGCCTTCCTTCATGAGGTCTGTGCTAGATATCCTGATCTAAATCCCAGTAGCATCTTAAGTCTTTTCACAAACTTTGTATTTGAAACTGTTCCAATTTATCATCTGTAATCATTGTTTTGTTTCTGAATTCTTGTTGCCAGTAAATTGCATGTGGACAGGGCCATGTCTGCATTGCTTATCCCTATGGCTCCAGCATTTCTCATAGTGCCTGGCACGTAGCAGATATTCAATAAAAGTTTATTGACAATAAAGAACACTTAGAAAATTTCCAATTTTTGAATTTATTCCTGAATGACCAGTAGTGATTTTAGAAGCAGAGAACTGCCAGCTAAACAATGAACTAATAACAGTTAAGCCTGTAAAATTTTTCAATATTGAGAGAGGCCTTTATTTGATAAGTAATGAGGGGGTACATCAGATATTATTTCAGTAGTGACAGCTCCAGAGTTGAGCTACAACTTGGACTCAGAGAGCAATCTAATGAGGAGGTTCTTTGACTTTCTTCAGGTATTTTCTTCCTTTTGGAATATCATGCTTTGTCAGTGCTCCCCTGACCTAGCAGGACTCTGCTCAGTCATCAGTAACTTCCTTTCATAGCACTAACCCTACTACCCATAGCACTTGCAGTCAGCTTCAATGCTTCCTAGTGTTACCTGACCTTCAGTGCCAGGTTCTTGAGTCTTAATGTGATAAAAATGAGCACCGAATTCAGTACAAGATCAAGCAGATAGAGTTAATTGAAAAGAGCTTGTGCACAAGAGAGTCAGACAGAGGAGCGAAGTTGAACTCTCTGAGAGATTTTGTGGATGGCTTATACAGGGGCCTTGGAATCAGTTTAGGGCTGGGAATGGGGATGAGGTCAATTGTCCCGTAATCATTATCAGACTAAAGTTGATCCCCAAGTAGTCACAAGGTGTTTTCCATGGTCAATGGACCACCTGAAAGGCCTGTAAAATAATGCTTGCACAAGCATTCTAGTTACCATTGGACGAAATAACTATTTTGCAGAACTGATGGTAAGAAAGGATGTCATTGTACATTCTTTCCATTAAGGATGCTTAGGTTAAATTCTTGTAATTTTACTGAAAGTAAGGAGTCATGGTCAGGCTTATAAGACTTTCATTCCTTCAATCAGGGTAGAGACTACATCACCCCTACATCGTTTCATCAGTGCTCACCCCATCTGACTGTTTCCCCCACTGAATTGTGAAAGCTCCCAGGGCAAAAATCGGCTCCCTGTCTCCTGCTGCAGAGGGCAGGCCAGGCGTTAGAAGGCATCTTCAACGTTAACAGTGGCCAGTGGAGGCCAATTTTTGCATGTGTAAGACTTTAGGTCAGCAAAGATAAGCTGTTGTGAAACCGTCTCCAGAAGCCAGTGCCAGCAACACGAAGAAAAGATACAGAAGAGCCAAATAAAGGACTCATTTGTTTCCCGCACTGCACACCAAAAGCTGCCCGCTTTAAGACAAGTTCGAGGCCTGGTGTCAAAGTCTGCCGTTAAAGGAAGGGAAGCTTCTGACGTGGAGGCCGCAACTTCCAGCCTCGACTTCCGGCTTAGCGGCATCGACTGGGCGGGACTGTGCAGCCGGCGGTTAGGGGGAGCCCTGGCCCCGCCCCGCAGGCCGCCCCTACGCTCACCAGGAGGCCTGTTCCGGCGATCACGCTCAGAGCCAGGCGCCGGTTGAAACACAGCTCCGCGTCCATGGAGGCACCAGGGGAGGCGGAAGTAGAGAATGAGGATGGCGACAGCAGCTACGGGGACCTGTGCTGCATGGACAAAGGCCTGCGGAGGTGAAGGGGGCTCTGGGGACGGGCGTCTGACCTGGGACTTATTCCGAAAGTGCCCGCGGAGGTTCGGGAATCGCTCCCCTTCCAACCTCTGACGTGTTGGTCTTTGGCAGACACTTGGCATCCTCCCTGCTTTGCCAGTTCCCCCATCTCCGCTGTTCCTGCCTGTCCTAGCGCTGTCCCTTCTTTGACCCTGACGCCACCGGCAGCTGAGGAGCCCCGTTCACCTCCCCTTCATTGGCTGTGCCTGGGGTCTTTTTTCCCTGGGTTCCAATTCCTCCTTTGCAGAGCCCCACGATGCTTGTGCCCTCATGCTTTTTGCAAGTACTAAGTTTAACCCTATTGAGGTCCCCGATTCCCTCTTTGGTGCAGCCCAGTCTTGTGCATGGCGTATCTGGCCGTTTCTGTGTGTTACTAACTGGCCCCTGCCCAGCTGTTCAGCCAGATTTCTTTCTTAACCGTTTTCCCACCAACTGTCTAATTTGCCGGGCTGAATGATAGCAGGTCCAGCCTCTGCTCTTCTGTTCCTTTGCACGTGCTGTTCCTTTGCAAGCCTGACTGCTCATAACTAAAGCATCTTGCCCTGGATCCTGGCCTAAAATTTGCCAGAAGACCCCAGGAAGACATTTTTTCAAAGGAATATTTATATTTAATAGCAGCTGTTATATACTGAATGTCATCTGTGTGCCCATGTTACATATATTATCACTGGTCCTCAACAACAATTCTGCAAGGTGTTAATTTTACAAATGACAAATCTGAGACCCAGAGAATATAAATAACTTTTCCAGCCTAATGCACCCGATGGGCGATTGAGTTCGAGTTTACACCTATTTCTAATTTCCCTGTCTGCTTTTTCTACTCTGCCATATGATCTGTACAATACTAATTTCCAGAAACTCTGATGTTTCAGAAAGCAAATGGTCATTAAGAGCACATGTTAATAGCATAAAGTCTGGACTAAAAAATAGCTCAGTAAATGACAGATGCTAGATAATTGGGAAAATTTCAGTCATACCTGTAGAGATTGCTAATTTGACTTGTAGAAATGCTGCATCTTTTTATTCAAGGGTACACAGAACATGGAACAGATGACATGTCATTGTGTGTCCTGGTTCCTGACTGTACCTCTATCCAACTCCCCTCAACTATGTGTAATAGTTTATATTCCTGGAACTGCTGTCTTCAGAGAGGTTCTGGTTTAAATGACAATAATTGAGAGAATGAAAGATAATTTCCATTTAGGGGTGGTACACTTCAAATGTCCAAGAGGGAATATAGGCACTTTTTCAGTAGAAATAGCAATACCTAGTGGGTTTTTTTAGAAATTAACTACACTCTGGGTTAAGTAGCCATTGTGGACAGTGAAGTAAGATTACAAACTCCAGAGCCAAATCTGGATTTATACTGGCTCAGTTAGGTAATAACTACAATAACTTGGACACATTACTTAATTTCTGTAAACTTTAGTTTTCTTATGATACCTACTCTTAAGAATTTTAAGAATTGAATGAGATGAGGAAACTGAGGCTTAGAGAGGTTAAGTCATTTACTCAAATAACTGCAGAAGTGGTAGAGTGCAGATTTGAGCTGGGCTGTTAGGATCCAGGGCTTTTACACTGATGCCTTTACAGGGTGTTGATGATTTTGCATAGAGAAGCTAGAAGTGCCCAGGGTTACTTGCCTCTGCTGAGTGGGTTTCTTGTTTATGTAAATGGTCCAAAATGCTGGTTTGTGATACAAATTACTATACCTTATGAGACATTTCAAGGCTACTACAAGTAGGAAGGATTTCATTATAGAGTGAGTAGAGGTCACACTTATTGACATGCTGTTGGGTTAATTTTAATTTTTTGGTCATGATTTCAAAATCCATTTTTACTTGTTTTTGATAACACATATTTTGTTTTATAGCATATCAGAGTTATCCTTAGATTCAACCCTCCATGCCATCAATCTGCATTGCAACAACATCTCGAAGATCGAAGCCATTGATCATGTTTGGAATTTGCAACACTTAGATCTGTCATCTAATCAAATAAATCAAATCGAAGGGCTAAGCACACTGACAAAACTACGCACTTTAAATTTGTCCTGCAATTTGATCACAAGAATAGAAGGTTTGTGATTTTCATGTAATCTTACATGAATAAGGAAGATCATTTAAGTCCATTTCTTTTCCTTCCCAAAAGAATGGGATGAACATTAAACTTTTGAAAACTGACTCAAATTTATTGTATAAAATTTTTACTTCTAGCAAAGTTATCAGTCTTTTTAAGAGTATTTTGTAAAATACCAATAAAATGGATTTTACTATTATTTAATTTGAGACTGTACAGACTCTTCAAAAGAGTGCAAACTAGAATTATAGTATTATGTAGCTCTAATTAATTATTTGAAACCTATAAAAGTTTTATTTTATTTTTTATTTTATTTTATTTTAGGGCTTGAAGCACTAATTAATCTGACTAGACTGAATTTATCCTATAACCACATAAATGATCTTAGTGGTAAGTAGATGTGCTTAATTTTTATATAATGGTGAATATTTGTCACATGTGGTGAGTTAGATTGAGCTCAGCATGTCAAAAATCTGAATAGTCCAATTTTTGACCAAAAACCTCATCTAGAGAATGTATTGGTGCCACAGCTACAGCTGAATGAAAAATTGGAACAAAAACTAGAGTGATCCATAACAGAAATACTTGGATAAGAAGGACCTCATTTGGGGGAAATAATATTTTAGTCTTAGATAATTAATGAATATATTGTTATATATAGAGAGAGGAAGAGTTCCAATAGAACTTTTTACAGTGATGAAAATATTCTATATCTCTGCCATCTGGGATGATACCCAATAGCCAGATGTGGCTTTTGAGCACTTGAAATGTGACTAGTGCACTGAGGAATTAAATTTGTCATTTATTTTATTTTAATAAAATATTCATATAAGATTACAAAGCCACCTATGGTTGTTCTGTCATATTGAACAGTATATGTGTATTGAATTTGTCATTTTATTTTATTTTAATAAAATATTCATTTAAGATTACAAAGCCACCTATGGTTGTTCTGTCATATTGGACAGTATATGTGTATAGCATCCCAAAGGCTATGGCTAATTGAAGACTGAATATATATATTTTTCTTTTTGACTTTAGCATTCATAATTATTCTTCAAATAACCAGTTAGACCCTTCAGTTCCTCTAATTATCTTGTAATCTTTATCAATACTTGAAACGGCCTTATTCATTTGTTTGTTTTCTCCCTGCTAGAAAAATGCTACCCAACATTAGATGTTTACTATACAAAAAAATAAAATGATCTTATCCCTACCCTTAAGTCTGAGTAGCAGTAGTATTTTAATTTTTTAAACGTTTTTCTCCAAAGATGTGAAAGTATTAGGATTGAGTATTGGCTGTAGGTCTGTCACTGCTGTATACTGTTGAGTAGAGCTATTACTTTTTGGATGCAATTTCCTTATCTGAAAAATGTGAATGTTGGATAAGCTAGTTCATTTATTTACTCAACAAATATTTATTAAAAATCATCGTATCAAACAGATAAAGTTCTTGTTACAGGGCTTATACTGTAGTGAGGAAGAAAAGTAAGATCATGTCAGCCACCCAAAATAGGCAAAATATTTGAGCAGATGATTCCCCAAGAGGATTTCCAAATAGCAAGTAAGCACATGAAAAGCATCCTTAGTAACTAAGGAAATGCATATTAAAACCATAGTGAGACCCATTTCACACCTACTGGAATAGGTAGCTTTAAAAACTATAGCACATGGTGCGGGTGAGGTTGTGGAACAGCTAGGAGTTATGTAAGTTGCTGGTAGAGTTCAAAATGGTACAAGTACTTTGGAAAACAGTTTGAAGTGTTCTTATGTTAAATGTAAACTTATCATATCATGTAGTCCCACTCTAGGCATCTACCAAAGAGAAATAAAAATATGTCTAATCTAACCTGTACTTATGAGTATTTATATCATTATGTAGCTTTTCATATCATCATGTTTCTATGATTATATATAATCTCCAAAAACCAGAAAGTACCCACTATCTATCACCTGGTAAACAGATAAATGGTGATGTATCCACACAATAGAATACTACTTGGCAATAAAAAGGAATGAACTATTGATACATGAAGCAACATGGATAAATCTAGAAAGAATTATACTAAGTGAAAGCCAGACCCAAAAGGCTATACTGTATGAATCCATTTATATGACATTCTGACAAAGGCAAAGTTATAAAGGCAGGAGTCAGATCATTAGTTGTCAGGGCTTGAAGATAGGGAGAGAAAATTGTTACATAGGGCTGTAACAGTTTGGGTGGTAGAAATTCTATATCTCAGTCATAGCAGTGGTTAAACAACTGTATGTTGGTGAAAGTGCATTTTTTGTGACTAATAATGATAAGGAATATGAAGAAAATGTAGTAGTCCACTCTAGAAGTTCTAATAGATGATTTTTAGAATGGTAGTATTTTATTTGTTCAGAAGCACCTTGATAAATAATTGCAGTTTATATGCTACAGCATGTAGAGACACTAAGGCTTGCTCAAGCTTGCCATGATAGAGGGTCTGAAGGAAGTGTGCCTGGAGCACAACAAGTAAGGGGTTTGTGTGCAAGAAGAAAGATGAGGAACTAGGCAAAGAGTGAAGTTTACTTGTTTTCATAGGTACAATAAGAAGCCATTGGAAGTTTTAAACAAGTGACATACTGTGTGTATTTAAAGGGTTACTTTGGCTGCTCAGGGAGGGAGAGTGGATTTTAGAAGTATAGGAATGGAAGTCAGGTGTCCAGTGGGAAGCTGCTCCAGTGTCCAGAAGAGAGATGAAGGAGACTTGGACTAGGGTGGAGACAGTGGAGATTGGTAAATATGTTTTGCAGATAGACATCACAGGACTTGCTGATGAATAAGATTAGGGAATGAAGGAAAAGGTGTCAAAGATAATGAACACAAGTTTTCTCTAGTCACAGGCGGATGATGGGACTGCTTTCAGATGTGGGATGATTGGGAAGGAAAATATAAAAATGAGGTGTTGAGAAGTCTGCTAGACGTGTGTGGTGGGGGAGCAATCAGGATTTGGGGCTGGAGACCCCGACACATGACATGGTGGGCCTTCCGGAAGAAGGGAGGCTGGGGCAGTGGTCCACTGACAACATCCCTTCTCTAGGACTGAAGGGAGCCCTGCAGGCATTGTTGCCCTCACACTTAGATGCTGCACTGTTGCTCAGCAAGCTCCACTTGGAAGCAAGTTCTGAGGCAGGAGAGAAACAGCCAGTTGCACCCCTATGTTCATAGCAGCATTACTTACAACCACCAAGATTTGGAAACAGCCCAAGTGCCCATCAGTGGAGAAGTGGATATAAAAGCTGTGGTACAATGGAATAGTTCGCAGCCATAAAAAAGAAGGAAATCTTACCCTTTGTGATAGCATGGATGTACCTGGAGAACATTGTGCTAAGTGAAATGAGCTAGTCAGAGGAAGATAAGTACCATATGATTTCACTCATATGTGGAATCTAATGAACAAAATGGACTAGCAAGCAAAATAGAGAAACAGCCAGTGCTTCGGGGGTACACAGGCAAGGTGCAAGGCCCAGGGGCACCACAGCTGAGCCAAGTCAGAGGCTGCCCAGAGATGGAATTCCTAGCATCACCATACACTAGGTAAGCAGGGGCTACAGATATTACCAGGGAATTAAATCAAAGGGTTGCTGTTTGTATTTTATGCCCAAACCAGAAATTGAAGTGTAGTTAGTGTCTGCTTATGAAAAAGGAGCCTGGAGCCATCGTTTATGCTGTTCTGTAAGTACCTGTGTGGCCTAGAGAGGCCCATTTGTTTTGTTTGAAGAGAACCAGACTCCAAGAACTTCTGTTCTTTAAAAACAACAGTTGACTCATCTGAACCCTCCTCATGAGATCAGCTTTCACAGCGAGTCATCATTCATGCTACTGCTTTGCCTCTCGAAATAGAACCCACATACAGATGTTTAGTGAGCTGTTGGGGAAGTTGCTGCTGTGGCATTAGCAGGGTGTTTTTGGCTTGCAGGTTTGATGCCCCTTCATGGAATCAAACATAAACTTAGATACATTGACCTGCACAGTAACTGCATAGACAGCATTCATCATTTACTTCAGTGTGTGGTGGGCTTGCACTTCCTGACGAATCTTGTTCTGGAGAAGGATAGCGAGGATAATCCCGTCTGCCGTGTACCAGGTGGGAACAACTAACAATGTTCAAATTTTTGTTAACAGTGTTCAAAGCAACTGGTGTTCTAACCTGCTTTTATTTGTCTTAAGCTTTGTAACTTCTTATGTATTTGGAAAAATATAGTTGCAAATAAATTGTTTCATTTAGACAAATTAAATTGCTGTTAAAAGAAAAACAGTGTGAACAGATTAATTATATTTAGACAGCTATATTTGATAACCAAGTGCCTCAAAATTAAATTATGTCATTATGATATATTTTATAGTACAACATTGCCGCTGTAGGTGATGCATCTGGTAGCTGATGAGTCAAGTTGATTCTAGAAGTAATTAATGTTTTTTAATGCCTGACTTTTCCTTTTAAATGATTTGTTACTAAGGGTACAGAGCAGTTATGCTCCAAACCTTGCCACAGCTTCGGATCCTGGATTGCAAGAACATATTTGGTGAACCAGTAAATCTGTCACAAATAAATTCATCGAGTCTACAGTGTTTTGAAGGTCTTTTGGATAATTTAGTTTCATCTGATTCTCCCCTAAATATAAGTGAAGACGAGGTACAGTATTGGGTTTTTTCCTAATATGAAGGTAACTTCAGCTTTTAACTAGTAAATACAAATGTTAAGGATTTGGGTTGTGTCTGTCCTAGATCATTGACATCATGCCAGTGGAAACAGCCCCCATCGATGAAATGGCCCCCCTGGATCAGTTTGCCAGTACACCAACTGACACTGGTTTGCCGTCCTTTATGTCTGTGTGTCCATCTTCTGAGCCAGAGAAGGTTAATCATGAAGGCGATTTTCAGAATGAGATGAAACTTCAGAAATTAGATGATCAGTTTTTACAGCTTCTTAATGAAGTAACTATTTTTTCTATTTTTCTAAGCAGTGTGTTTGTTGAATAAATAGTAGTTCAGAAAATTTAAAACAAAAAATCGGTACAAGTAGACCAATTAGGAGTGTCTTTGCTGCATCCATGTGTATACATATTTTTGTCTTTTCTAGAAATGGAATTGTTATAGTACTAGTGGTAGGAAAAGGTGACACCCTTTCTTCCCTCATTTTCCTTGTCATCCTCCTTCAAACCTTCATTATGTAATTTCTGTTGTACTTCACATTATTTCCAATGACCTACCTATATTGTTTCAAACTGAAGGAAACAGAACTCTTTGGATTTATGTCTGTTAACATGGGGAATTATGAGTCACTTTTGACCTCTCCTATCTCTTCAGTTGTTTGGTGGTCAAAACCACTTCTGGGACTCAAAGCTGAATTCAAGTTCATTTATATACTTTCTGCTTCAACTTCTATTTCCAGTAGACCTTCCCCAAATTAATCTCTACTTCCCTAAGATACTCATTCTTTTTTACCCTTTACACTGACTTTAGAATCTTTGAACCTGTGGATGAACTACAATTCCTAGAATTTATTGCTGTTTGGGTCTGCAGCTTTTGCTCCAACAATCTTGTTCTGACAGGCAGATGTTGTCTTGACCACCACACCTCCCAGCACGCAGCAGACTATTACTTTATCCCCTCCCTGGATATAGGGTAGAAAGGTTATGGATAGGCCAGAAAGGCTAGGCTGTTAGTCAAATATCAGTTTTACCTCCAAATTTATAATTTTAATATTTAATGTTTTTTTTTTCTGAAGATAGGGTGGGGATGAGAAACAAAATGCTTATGGGTTGTTTATAGTTCGGTGGGTTTTTAATCATCCTGAACTATTTTCATAGGTCTGACACTAATAATGCTAAATAAACAAGATCTGCTGTAGATGAGTGAGTGAGTGAGTGACTGACTGAGACTGCAGGGATTCTTCATGCCAGAGAGCCCAGAGATTTATTTCATTTGGGGCTACAGATGGAGACAGTGATAGAGCTGGGGAACAGTGCTGGCATAATGTTCTTTGACATCACTGATGACATATTGCTAAGCTTTTTGACTCTTTCATTTCCTCAGGTTTCCTCTCCATCTTGTCTAATGGCCAACTCTTTGACCAGTGTCAAAACTAATATTTCAGCTTAAGTTAAATTTGAAGTAAACTTTGTAGCTTCTCTTGCACTATCATGTCATTCTTACTACAACCCAGTCAAGTTGGTAGGAGTTAATATGTCAGTGTTCTTGTTACATGGAAAAGAAACCCAGGAATTTATCTAAGAGTTCTTTGTTAGTAAGATAGAATTGAGCTTCAATCCCAAATCTCCTGATACCCTACCCAATGACCTTGAAACCAATGCACAGAATATGTTTATCCCTAGTTTGGTTTTGCTGTGTAGTGTTCTATTGAATGTATTGAATAACAACATGTTTTTGAGTAACAACAGCTGTTGTTCTATTGAATAACAGCATTTATTTTACATTAACCTCTTGAGGTTCCAATGAGTTATTTCTCAGTTTATGATAATCACTGTACAAGTCTTTTTGTGAACTTATGTCTTCATTTTTCTTCAGTAAATAGCTAGAAGTTGAATTTCTGGATTCTAGGCTAGGTGTGTATACAGTTAGATAAGACACTTCCAGAGATTACCTGAATGGTCAGTACATTTCAATCCCACCAACAGTGTAGAAGTGACTGTCCAGTTTCCCACATCCTCACCAGTGTGGGTGTAAGCACTGATCTTATTTTAGCCATTCTGCTGGGTATGTTTGGGTATTCATTGTGACTTTAATTTGAATATCACTAATGATTGTCAGTGTTGAGCACTTTTTATGGGCTTATCGAATATTCATAAACTTTTTGTGAAGTGTCTTTTCAAACTTTTTGCCCATATTTTTATTGAGTTGTTAGTCTATTACTGGGTTGAAAGAATTCATTATATTTTCTGCATTCTAATGTCAGATATTTGTCAAATATTTATGAATATTTTTGTTCAAATTGTGAATTCCATATTCATTTATTTTATTGAAGCCCAGTTTATCTTTTTTAATGATTATTGCTTTCTGTGAATTTTAAAACTATTGTGTATCCCCAACTCACAAAGATATTCCCCTGTGTTATTATCTAAAAAGCTATGGTTTTACTTTTGCACTGAGGTCTGTGTCTGCGATGAGGCAAGGTTGAATCTGCTCTTCTCCATGTGGATATTCAGTTCTCCCAGCACCACTTGCTGGAAAGGCTTTTCTTTCCTGGGTTATTTTGATGCCTCTGTTGAAAAAAATCACATGACCTCACAAACTACAGAATTATCCCTGATCCCTTTTTTCTGTTTCTTTGATCCATATTTTGATCCTATGGCAGAACCATACTGTCTTGATTTTTGTTTCTTCACAGTACTTTTCAAAGTCTGGTAATGTAAGTCTTCCAATTTTTTCTTTTTTTTTTTCCAAATTACTTTGGGTATTCTAGATTCTTTGAATTTCTTTAAGCTTTAGAATCAGCTTGTATGTTTCTTGAAAGTTGATGTCTTAATACTGAGTCTTAAATCTGAACATATCTCTATTGTTTAGATTCATTTCATTGTTTTCAGCAGTAGTTTCCAACATTCAGGTTTTACACATCTTTTATTAAATTTGTTCCTAAGAATTTTGTTTTATAACATGATTGTAACTGAATAATTTATGTAGTTTTGTGTCCCAATTGATGGCTGCTTGTATGTAAAAATGTAGTTGATTCCCGTATACTTAATTTGTATCCTGTGACCTTGCTAAAGTTATTAGTTCTGGTCCTTGTTTTATATATTTCTTATTATTTTCTGCATGAACAATCATCTAGAGACTAGTTATTCTTCCCTGATTTTTATGCTGTTCCTTTTTGCTTTATTGCAACAGCTAGGGTCTCCAGTGCAGTGTGAAGAAAAATGGTGGGGTGGGCACTTTTCCTGGTTCCAGAGCATGGTCTGTCTATATGACCATTCAGTGTGATGTTAGTTGCATGTTGTGCAAAAATGTTCTTCATCAAATTAAATTTACTTCTGTTCTCAATGTGCTGAATTTTCTGATAATGTTGAATTTTTTTTCTTCAAATGTTTTTACATCTATTGAAGGGATCATGTGGTTTTCCTCTGTATTCATTTAATAGGGTGAATTACATTGATTAATTTTCTAATGTTAAACATTGCATTTTTGGCATAAACCTCATTTAATTATGACATATTATATTTTTATATATACTCCTGAACTCAATTTGTTGGGCTTTGCTCATGAGGGACATTGATTTATGCTTTTACTGTAGGGTCTTTAGTTTTAATGTTATATGTTAACGCTGCCTAAATAAATGAGTTGAGAACCATTTCCTCCTGTTTTCTAAGCGTTTTTGTAAGACTTGAATTATTTCTTTCTTAAATGTTCTAGAGTTGACTGGCGAAATCATCTGGGCCTAGGAGGTTCTTAATAATGAATTCAATTTCTTTATTAACTCTAAGGCAACTCTTTATTTTTCTTAGTCAATTTAGCTGGAGGTGTTATTGATTTCTACAGAGATCAACTTTGTTTATTATATGTACCTTTTTTAAATTGTCAATTTCTACATTTTATTATTTCTTCCGCTTTTAATTTACTCATTTTCTAGCTTTTTTGTTCAAATTAAATTTATTTTTTATTTTTATTAAGTAAAAATAAAAAATGATTTTATTTTATTGATTATGCTATTACAGTTGCCCCATTTTTTCATGCTTTTATTTCCCTCTGCCCTGCACCCCTATTCCTACCAGCATTCCCCTCCCAGGTTCATATCCATGGGTTGTATATATAAGTTCTTCGGTTTCTGCACTTCCTACACTATTCTTAACCTCCCTCTGTCTATTTTGTACCTACCATTAATGCTTCTTATTCCCTGTACCTTTTCCCCCATTCTGCCTCCTCACCACTGATAATCCTCCATGTGTTCTCCATTTCTGTGATTCTGTTCTTTTTCTAGCTGTTTGCTTAGTTTGTTTTTGTCTGTATTTTTTTAGGTTCAATTGTTGATAGTTGTGAGTTTGTTGTCATTTACTGTTCATATTTTTGATCATCTGCTTTTTCTTAGATAAGTCCTTTTAACATTTTATATAATAAAGGCTTAGTGATGGTGAACTCCTTTAACTTGACCTTATCTGGGAAGCACTTTATCTGCCCTTCCATTCTAAATGATAGCTTTGCTGGATAGAGTAATCTTGGATGTAGGTCCTTGCCTTTCATGACTTCCAGTATTTCTTTCTAGCCCCTTCTTGCCTGCAAAGTTTCTTTTGAGAAATCAACTGGCAGTCTTACGGTCACTCCTTTGTAGTAACTGTCTCCTTTTCTCTTGCTACTTTTAAGATTCTCCCCTTATCTTTAATCTTGGCTAATGTAATTATGATGTGCCTTGGTGTGTTCCTCCTTAGGTCCAACTTTGAGACTTTCTGCACTCTCTGGACTTTCTGGAAATCTATTTCCTTTGCTAGATTGGGGAAGTTCTCCTTCATTATGATTTCAAATATATTTTTCAATTTCTTCCTTTTGCTCTTCTCCTTCTGACACCCCTATGATTTGGATGTTGGACATTTAAAGGTGTCCCAGAGGTTCCTAAGCTTATCCTCATTTTTTTGAATTCTTGTTTCTTTATTCTGTTCTGGTTGAATGTTTATTTCTTCCTTCTGCTCAAAATCATTGATTTGAATCCTGGTTTCCTTCCCATCACCGTTGGTTCCCTGTATATTTTTCTTTATTTCACTTTTCATAGCCTTCACTTCTTCCTTTATTTTGCAACCATGCTCAACCTTTTCTGTGAGCATCCTGATTATCAGTGTTCTGAACTCTGCATCTGAGAGGTTGGCTATCTCTTCATCACTTAGTTCTGTTTTTGGAGTTTTGCTCTGTTCTTCATTTAGGCCATATTTCTTTGTCTTGGCACACCTGTTACATTGTAAGGGATGGAGCTTAGGTATTCACCAGGGCAAGGCAACCCACTTGGCTTCCTTTCAGCACCGTATGTGGGGGGAGGGGCCAGAGAGAGAACAATGCCTCTTGCTTGGCTCTCAGCTGGCTTTCAGTCACTTCCTCTGCTACCCACAGCAAATTGGGCCCTTCTGGTGCTTGTTCCCGGGTGGGTAAGTTTGGTACATTCTAAGACCCTGTGGATCTCTCCAAGCTACTCTCCTGTGAGTCTGGGGGTTTCTCCTGCTGCCACAATTCCCACAAATTTTTACAGCCAAAGGTTTTGAGGCTTTCTTTTCTGGCACTGGAATCCGGGGTTGAGCAGTCTGTCTCCCTCCCCACTGTTCCTCCTGTTTATCCACATGAAAAAGTGAGACCGCCAGCCGTTGCCTTGCCACACGTCCTCTCTACCCTGGCTGCCTATCTCTGCCCTTCCTCCTAGTCTGAATGAATGTTTCTCCTTTAACTACTTGGTTGTTGGACTTCTATATAGTTCAATTTTCTGGCATTTTTGCTTGCTTATTTTTTTGTTTTTAAATTTGTTGTTATCCTTCTTTTGGTTGTGTGAGGAGGCACAGTGTATCTACTTACCCCTCCATCTTGGCTGGAAACCAAATTAAATTCCATTTTCTATCTTCATAATGTAAGTGCTTACATTATTGATTTTGGACATGTTTTCTAATTTAATCATTTAAAATGATGAATATTCTTTTAAAGCACTGCTTGAGCCACTTTTGACAGATTATTCTTTTATTTTTTAGCTAGAAATATTGTCCAATTGCTCTTTTACTTTATCCAAGAATTATTTTGAAGTGTCTTATTTACTTCTGTTTTTGTCAGAGAACATATTCTGGGTAATATCTGTCATTTGATTTGCTCTGACCTCTTTCATTGTCCAGCATACACCTATCTTGGTGGATTATTATCTGTGTGCTTGAACAGTATGTGTGTCCTGCAGTTGTGACATGAGGATAGGATGCTTGATAGTATTTTCAGATGTTTCATGTTTTACTGACTTGGTTTTGAGTTCTGTTGTTTGTATGTGAGATATTAAAATGTCCAACTATGATTGTGGATTTGTCTTTTCTATTTGTCCCTTTAACTTTCTTAACATTTACTCCTGGTTTTTAGCAGTTTGACTATTGCACTTAAGGATGATTTTCTTCATGTTATCCGGCCTAAGGTTTGTTTCTCTGAGCATTTTAAATCTTTAAATTATGTCCTTATCCATTTAGGAAAATGTGGACATTATTTCCTCAAATATTTTCATGCCCCATTCTCTCTCCCCCTGTTATTCAGATCCCACTTGATCTTCTGATATTGAACCATAGATCCCTGAGACGGTAAACATGTATCTTAGCAACTTTTTTCCTCTGTAGTCTTCCTATTGAATAATTTCCACTGAATTGTCTTCAAGTTCATGTATTCTTATTTTTGTTAACTCATTCTTCTGTGAAGCCCAGCCAGTAAATTTTTACTTCAGACATTTTATTTTTCACTATGAAATTCTCTTTTTAAAAATAATTTGTATTTCTTTGCTGAATTTTCTTCTCTCTTTATTCATGACAAGCATAATTTTTATATCATTGAGCAGAGCTATGATTACTATTTTAAAGTCATCATCTCTTATTTGGACATTTGGGTTCCCCCAGGTTAGGTCTCATTGATTGCCTTTTCTCTTGAGAGTAGGTCATACTTTCCTGGCTCTTCCTATGGTGAGTGTCATTGGCTTTTATTCCTGATATTGTGAACATTACATTATGGAGACCTGATACTGTTATGAGTCTCCAAAGAGTTCAGTATTTTTGTTGTGGCAAGCATTTCGCTTGCTTTGATTTGAACTATTATTTTGTCTCTTGGGCTGCTGAATTTTGTCCTTTATGGGACTTCTTGCCATTTCTGTACTGTCCTCTGACTATTTAGAACCTGAAACCTAGTTTTTCCACCTGAATTTAAGACTCTTATCAGGTGTATCTAACATTTTGGCATCTCTGGGCCACACTGGAAGAAGAATTGTCTTGGGCCACACATTAGGTACACAAACACTAATGAAAACTATGAGCAAAAAAAATGTTTTAAGTAAATTTACGATTTTGTGTTAGGCTGCATTCATAGCCACCCTGGGCCTCATGTGGCCTGCAGGCTGCAGGTTGGACACCCCTGCATGGAACTACGCTTTGTGATATGTTCTCAGGCTAAATACCAGAAAGACAGAAATACCTCATTCTGGTTATTTTCCAAAGTGTCAACTCTTCTCTAGAATAAACCTATTTTTGTTCACTTTTTAGGGCCTCCAAATAGTTTTTGTTCATGGTTTTGTTTGTATTTTTCCCAGAGTTTATCATTGTTACCGTGAGAGAGTCAACCTTGTCATACAAGAACTTACTTGTCATACAAGAGGCAGAATCCCTGTATTTAATTCCAAACATACTTTATAAACCCTTAATCATGTAAAAGGTCATTATATTTTAGGAGATCTCAAATTTTAGTCTTTTTTTTTAAAGATTGTATTTATTTATTTTTAGACAGAGGGGAAAGGAAGGAGAAAGAGAGGGAGAGAAACATCAATGTGTGGTTGCCTCTCACATGCCCCACACCGGGGACCCAGGCCCACAACCCAGGCATGTACCCTGACTGGGAATTGAATAAGAGACCCTTTACTTCAAAGTCTAGTGCTCAATTCACTGAGCCACATCAGCCAGGGCAAATTTTAGTCTTTTATACCATATCAACCTCTTAACAAACCATGTTGGTTTTTCAATTCTAGACTTCTAGTTCTTTAATAGATAATGTTCCTGAGAAAGACCTGAGACCAAAAAGAGACACAGATATGACTTCTGAAAGTGACTATGGAAACAGAAAAGAATGTAATAGAAAAATTCCTAGAAGATCAAAAATCCCATATTATTCCAAAACAATTCAGACTATTAAGCACCACAATAAAAACAACAACCCATTTATAAGGTATGTGTTTCAGTTTTAGAAATTGAAATAAGGTGCACAGAAGTTAATGTTCTGGCTTCTTTCTTAGTTATCTTGTGGTTGATATTTTTTTACTCTTCTAATGCCAGTGATATAAGTTTCAGCCTTGCCAGTTCAGATGTGGTCAGTATATTCTTATAAATTTATACAGAAAGCTCCCTTTATCTGTGATAGATTGTCCTTCTGTTGTAAAAGACATAAACACTGCCCATTTCTCTGGGTTATTGTCTATGTTTTATTCTTTGCAGTTATAATCGTAAAATGAAACAGCCTTTTTTTAAAGAATTGTATATAAGATCATCTCTAGCAAACTGTAACAGATTAGAGGAAGCTGAAGAGCAGAAGACAGAACTAATTAAAGTTGACAACAGCAGCCCTGAAGACAACACGTACCGGGTAGGATTCAAGAGATTGAGGAAAAATGAATGTGAATAATCTTCTTTTTAAAAAGATTTATTTATTTTAGAGAGAGGGGAAGATAAGAAGAAAGAGAGGGAGAGAAACATTGTGTGTGAGAGAAACATCTGTTGGTTGCCTCTTGAAAGTGCCCCAACTGGGGACCAGGTGCTCAGTCCAGGCATGTGCCCTGACCAGGAATTGAACTGGCAACCTTTGGCTTTGCAGCCAATGCTCAACCCACTGAGCCATGCCAGCCAGGGCTAATGTGAATAGTTTTAAATGAAGTCAATCTCAGAAAAATATTTTGTGCTTTTATAAGCACAAAAGATTGTATGCATTTCTATTGGAGTGGTTAGTTTATTTTTTTCTTCCTGGTTTCTAGATTTTGTGTGATATTAGTACTTTAATAATTTATAAAGGAATGGAAATCACATGTTCATTTAAGATCAGATTTCAGTGAAATTGATTTAAATAATTGTGGAGGAAGAAACTTATTTAAATTTTCAAATTCCTGTTTATTAAGCAGTGGTTCCTAACTTTTGGGCCTTGGACATTTTTAAATATCTAAGGAAATCTATTGGTCTTCTCAGAGAAGTCTACTTTTATGCACACTCACAAAATGTGTGTAAAGTCAGAGACTCTCCCAAAACCCAGTTTTGGACCCATGGATTCCAGATTAAGAGGCATTTAAGGATTTAAAAATTCTTCAGTATTTGCTTTAATCATTCTCAAGTGTTAAGAATTTTTAGTACACATTGATTTCTTTGTGATTTTATTAACTTACCCTAATTTTATTTGTGAAGTACTGGTTTTGAGTGAAACGTGCACTCTTCCAATATCATAATTGCTTTTTAAGCTATTTCTCACTTTTCACGCTATTGATTTCCTCCTTTTATTCTCCAGTGTAGAGGCTTTAATGTTCAGAGAAACAACAGTAATTGTCATTATGGTAGTAGTGGCAGCTAACACTTCTTGAGTCGTCATTCAGTGATGGTCACTGTTATGTATGCTTCACTTACCTTAATTTGTTTAATTCTCTCACAGCCCTCTGAATGAGATGCTGTTATTTTCGTATTGTAAATGAGAACATTGGGACAATGAGAGATTAGGTAACTTTTCCAAGTTCACATAACACTACTATTTTCTTTCAGATACTTGTTGAACAACTAGACCAGGAGAGAGAGAAGAGATGGAAAGCTGAACAAGCTGAAAAGAAACTTATGGATTATATTGATGAACTACATAAACATGCAAATGAAAAGAAAGATATCCATAGCCTTGCTCTACTCACCACAAATAGGTGAGGGGAAGGTCTACACCTGGAGCTAGCTTATCACCCAAACAACAGTGAACTGACAGCTGGAACACCTTTGTTTAAACCAAGTGTAGTGAGACTAAAACAGTATATGTCAGGGTGTCAAACTCATTTTCACTAGGGGCCACATCAGCCCCATGGTTGCCTTCAAAGGGACAAATGTAATTTTAGGATTGTATAAATGTAACTACTCCTTAACCAAGGGCAAAAAGCTTGGTGCTGCCACTGGGCAGAAACAAGGTGCTGGGCCAGATAAAACATGGTGGAGGGCCAGATTTGGCCCGAGAGCCTTGTGTTTGCCACCTATGGTGTATGTGGTTTCAGTTCAAATTGAACTAATTGTATTTAAAGATTTAGTGCTTCATCAACTTGTTGCATAAATAAAGAGTTCAGGCCACATTTATTTCAGCCCTCTAGCTACAGGCATCAGACAGATTAGTAAGTCTTCCAAGTAAAGCCAGCAAGAGTTCCTTGAAGGAACAGGCTGTTCCTCATTCATACTACTGGCTATTTTATTTTTTTATTTTAATCCTCACCCAAGGATATATTGATTGATTTTTAGAGGAAGAGAAACATTGATTGGCTGCCTTCCTTATGCACTCTGATTGGGGATTGAACCTGCAATCCAGGTATGTACTCTGACCGGGGACCAAACCTGCAACATTTTGGTGTATGGGACAATGCTCCAACCAACTGAGCCACCCGGCCAGGGCTCATGCTATTGACTTTTAAGCCCACACCAAGCACAGTGCCTGAAACAAATGTTAAGTAAAGCTTTGCAATTGAATAAAGTTCACATAAGATAAAGTTTCATTAACTCAGGTAGAATGTTTTTCCTTTTGACACAATGTTAGTTTCAGGAATGGGCAAGAGACATGTTTTTCTGTTTTTCAGCCTTTTTTTTTTTAATTTGATGAGTTAGAAACATGCTTCAAATCTTCTTATCTACTGTGAGCTTTGATGTTGACTATACACAAAAAAAGGAGAGTTTTTGTCCTTTTTTATGTATAATGTACATGTCTGATTTCTACTTTAGGTTAAAGGAAATTATTTTTAAAGAAAGAAATTCCAAAGTGCAACTCGAAATTATGGTTCACAGACTTCAAAATGAAATTAAAAAACTAACTATTGAATTAATTAAAGCAAGAGATCAGCAAGAAAATTACATCAGACACTTGAGAGCCCTGGAGAGAGCATTAGAAAAGATGGAGAGGCAGAAAGGACAGCAGCAAGCGGCCCAGGTATTTCTCTGTTCTGTCTGTTAGTCACTGAGTTAACACCCAATCCTGGCTGTGTACTGAAACAACTCTGGTTATATGGTAGACTGAGATTTTAGAGTGTGCAAGAATTAAATAGTATGGCAGTTTAGTTTGTGGAGTTACTTCTGAGTTAAAGCAATTGGTATTCACGAGGCAACCAGAAGACTTGGTGGACATATTGCAAGTTGTTGGGCTGTGTTCCAAGAGCCGGTATTTAAAGTCTCTTTGGGGTACCTGATGGTACCCCAAAATATTTCTTTTATGTTTTTATTGAATTTATTGGGATGACATTGGTTAATAAAATTATATAGGTTTCAGGTGTACAATTCTATATTACACCATTTGTATTTTGTACTGTGTTTTCACCACACACAGTCAAGCCTCCTTCCCTCACTACTTATCCCCTTTACCCCCTTTCCCTCTGGTAATCACCATACTGTTTTCTGTCCATGAGGTTTGTTTGTTTCTTTTTGTTTTGTTTTTTGCTTAATTCCTTCAACTTTCTAATACCATCCATCAGCCCCCCACTCCTTTGACAGTTGTCAGCCTGTTCTCTGTATCTTTGAGCCTATTTCTGTTTTGTTCTGAAGTTATTTCACCTTTCTGAGTGAGGATTTTGGGTAAGATCTGTATGTGAAAACAAGAGTGTGTCTGATGCGTCTGAGGCTGTACCTCATGTGATCACAGCATCATTCTCCTATGACATTTTGAAAATCAATTTGGGCACTAGGTTCCATTATTTAAAAGGAACTTTCTTTGGGTAACTGGTATTAAAATAGAAGCAGAAGGAATCTGAAGAATGTAATTGTGTGTCTTCTACTCAGATGCGACTTGTTGAAGAGGTGGAACTCAAAGCTGCAGCTGCTGACCAAGAAATAAGCTTACTGCGAACTTCCCTTCATCAAGAAAAGGAGCAAGTACAGCAGCTTCATGAGCTTCTTGCACTGAAAGAACAAGAGCACAGGTAAATGAAAACAAATGAGGAAATGTCATTCATGTACAGGAAAGAAGCCACTTGATTCCTCCCCAATCCCCAAACACTAGCTAGGGACTGAGCAGTGGAAAGGCCATTGGTGGAGCTCCGAAAGGGATGTGCTTGTCCAAGTCGGTTTCTACTGTAGCCAATACTTTACAGATACACAGGTGACATTACTGAGGTGTGGGCTGCAACAAGGAAGATGTGTTTGCATTTCTGCAAACCCAACACAAAATTATTTTAATGGACCTTCAGGTCACTGCATGTTCAGTTACTCCATGCTTTTTACTCCTGTGAAGCAGGTATTAACAGACTTTTTCTGTGAAGGGTCAGATAGGAAGTATTTCAGGCTTTGCATTGCACACCTGACTGCCTTTACTGTAGACAGAATGTAAGCCAGACAGAATGTAAGACAGAATGTTGTGGCTGTGTGCCAATAAAAGTTTGTTTCCAGAAAAGGGCACAGGCCATCTGGGTCCATGGGCTGCAGTGTACCTGTTGTGCTCTGAGTCCCTAGTGATGGGAACACTTTCAGCTGCTTATCTTCTAATACCATCAGCTAATTCTGTGATTTCATGTATAAATTAAATGTAGATGCTCTGGTGAAAATTGATATCCTATGTGTGGGCAGAATAGCTGCAAAATATTGAGGGAAATAATTTAAAAATCTAAAATTTTGTACTTAGCTTCATTTACAGATATTTTTTAACTTCTTGTTCTAATTTAAAGAAACCCAAACCAGAAACAATGGATTTTGTTTTATGGGTTTGATTTAATCAAGAAAAATAATGGAGAACTCTAAGGAATGAGCTCTCATTTAAAGAAAATGTAATAGTTCAGGGACCTTGAACTATCTCTATGAACCTAGATATGGGGTACACCTCTGATCCCCATCACCACTGAACACTCAGTCAAGTAAAACTCATATTCCTTCTCTATCCTATCCCAGTTTCTGTGTGAAAGTGAAGAGCTCATCTTAAATTAAAATTAGGAAATATAGACTATTTAATTACTATTTAAAAACATTTAAAAGGGAGGAAGATGGTGTCAAGGAGGGAGGGAGCAGATTCCACTTCCCTCCTATACATGGGAGAAAAACCTAGCTGATCTAAAGAACAGAGCAAATAGCCAACAGTACTGCAACATATATGAAAATAGGAGACCAAAAATTGTAGCTGACATTAAAAAACCAGACAGTAAGGAGAGTGCTTCAGGACAATAAGGTCCCGAGGATCAGGGCAGCTGCAGCCCCAGGCCTGGCACCTGCCAAGTCTGCCACAGGGCTCTTGGGAGAGAGCTGGATCAACTGCTCCCACCCTGGCCAAACAAGGTTTGAGCAGCACCAGGAGAGACCTGGTTGCTTGAAGTCGCAGAGAGGGGAATAAGGACTAAGTGGCAAACATACAGGGGCTGTGAGCACCCACGGAGTCTGTGGACACCAGCTCGGGAGAGTTGAGAGTCAAACTGTGACGGGCCCTGACCCTGAGAGTCCTCAATCTGGTTGGAGAATCGGGCTGTGTGGGAGGCCAGGCCGCTGTACAGAGTGGCAGGCTTTAGTAGGAGGAATTTTTCAAAAAGAAAAAGTGAAAAAAGATACACTGTTTGGGGAATTCTCCTGCATTAGTCACTCCGGCCTCCTCCCAGCTCAGCCAGGCAGCACTCCTGAGGTGGCGTGGAAGGTCCTGCATGCACTCCCATAGCCCTGGTAAGGGTACGCACCCAAACCTGAGAGACCAGAGGCAGCCTGCTTGAGCTCATGTGCCTGCAACTGAGGAAAGTGGCAGAAGGACCCCTAGCCCACACATGTAACCCTGGGGAGAGGGCGCTTTGAGGAAGGCCTGGATCCCACACCCAAAGCCCCAAGGAGAGGCGCCTGGCTAGCCCTGGGGAGAGTGTGTAACTGAGGCTGACTGAGTGTGGATCAGGAAGAGAGAAAAGTGAAACTAATCGCCCCTCAGACTGCTGCAGCCAGCAAGACCACCAGAACCGGTTTGGAGAGTTGGAAACCAGCAAGAGGATTTTTTATTTTAAGTATTTCTTTACTTTTTGCTTTTTATTATTTTTTTATGTCTCAATTCCTTTTTTCTCTCTTTCCTTCTTTATTGTTTTATTCCTTCTGCCTTTCAAATTTTATCTCTTCTTCCTTCCTTCTTCTTTTTTTTTTTTAAAAATACCCACAAGTGAGACAAAAAAACATGGAACTGTGAGAAGACCACAGTTGGACCCAAAGAGGGGTCATCCCAACAGCTGAGACAGTGAGACAAATTTCACTTTGCTATTACAGAGAACCTGCAAGTTGTTGCATATTTATATTATTTTTTCATTATTCTTACATCTTTTATTTTAATAGTATTTTTGTGTTCCTCTTCTTTCTGTTTAGTCTTCTTTGCTTGGCTGGTTATATTATATCATTTGAAAGTTTTCCCCTCTTCTCTTATCATAGTGTATTGCTAAATTATTGTCCTTCACTTCACTTGTGTTTCATGAGCACACTACTCAAGGTCTGACTTTCCTATTCTTATTATCCAGAATACACAGATTCTGTCATATGATTCTTGCTCTAATATTATTGTAAATAATAGCTGTTTTATACAATTGTAAATACTACACAAAACCCCTCCCAAGATCTTAGCCCACTTCATGGTTTCCTGAACTCTATTACTGTAGTGGTTAACTCTATTCTGTCACACACTACAACTATTTACTATCCTTTACTCTCACTTTCCCTCAGAATCTGACCTCCCACAACCTCACTGCTTTCTAGATCCAACTCACAATCCTTCCCTCCCCAAGAAGAGTCTTATCTTCTTTCCATCCTTTCTAAAAAGTGGCTAGTTTTGTGGAGTATCACGGTTAACACAATACATAACCAAAGGATCTCCTATCTCTTCTCTACTGGCTGCTCCTGTAAATATAATAGAATACACTCTTGCTGTTTTAAACCATTTTGCCTTCCCCCTCCAACTGATCATAAAAAAGAGTAGGTGGAAGCTGTGAACACCAGGATACCAACTGGAAGAGGAAACCCAACAACAAAGGAACCACTACCAGATTAAAACAGAAGAAAGTGAAGGAGGGAGTGGAAGCCACACTAACCTCAATCTAGGACCTATCTGGAAATTCAGCTAAATAGTGGAGAAATTACCCAGAGCAAACAATTGAACAAGAACAAGAGAGAATACTCAAATCTTGACACACAGAAGAAACAACTTCAACACAACCTGCCCACACCAGCACAACAAAATACAAGAGGTAGTGGATAGAGTGACCTTCAGTTAATCAGCTGGTGGGAAGAACCCACCAAAGAAAGACCCAACAACAATCAAAACCCAAAGACAACACAGAGCCAATTTAAAATACAGCCCAAGACCAGTGTGCTCAGGACATCAAGTAGACTGCACCATTGAAGCTCACAGATATTCCACCTTAGAAGTTCACAACATAAACCCAGAGAGCCAGAGCAGACCAATTTAAGAAGCTGAGGCTAACAAGAAGAGTCTCACAAACAATGGGAAGACAAAGAAACAATCCCCAAATGAAAGGACAGGAGGAAGCCTCAGAAAGATTGCTAAGGGAAATAGAGGCAACTCAACTATCAGATATTGAGTTCAAAGCAATGGTTATCAGGAAGCTCAATGAGCTCACAATGAGCAACCAGAAACTACAGGGAAACTACAATGAACTCACTGGAAATGATATCATCGTGAAAAATAAAATAGAAACTATCAACAAGGGCCACGAGAAAACGAAGAATACAATTTCTGAACTGAAGAACACAGTAGAGGGAATCACAAACAGGATCAATGGAGCAGAAGATCGGATCAGTGAGCTGGAGGACAAAGTAGAAAACAACAACCAGAAAGAGCAAGAAAGGGAAAAGAGGCTCAGAAAGAACGAAGAGGAATTAAGAGAAATGCAAGATAATATGAAACGTAATAATGTCCCTATAATAGGGATACCAGAAGGAGAAAAAGAGCAAGGGATAGAAAACCTGTTTGAAAAAGTAATGATGGAAAACTTCCCTAATTTGAAGAGAGAAAAAGTCACACAAATCCATGAAAAACAGAGATCCCCAGTCAAGAGGAACCCAAAGAAACCCACTTCAAAACACATCATAATTAAAATGGCAAAATTCCAAGACAAAGAGAGACTCTTAAAGGCAACAAGGAAGAAACAATAGGTAACATAAAAGGGAGCCACGATAAAGTTAGCAGCTGACTTCTCAATGGAAATGCTCCAAGCCAGAAGAGAATGGCAAGAAATATTCCAAGTAATGAGAACCAGAGCCTGCAACCAAGGCTCCTTTACCCACCAAGTCTCTCAGTCAAGGTAGAAGGCCAAATAAGGAGCTTCCCAGACAAAAGAAGTCTAAAAGAATACACCTCCACCCAATCAGCTTTGCAAGAGATGCTAAAGGGACTGCTTTAAGGAAGAGAAGGAAAAGAGAGAGAGAGAAAGAGAGGGACATAGGTATGAAAATGGCGATGAATAACTACCTATCAGTAGTAACCTTCAATGTAAGTGGATTAAATGCTCCAATCAAAAGACATAAAATAGCAGAATGGATAACAAAGCATGACCCACACATATGCTGCCTACAAGAGACCCACCTCAGTCAAAAGACCTACACAGACTGAAAGTGAAGGGCTGGACACAAATTTTCCAAGCAAAGGGACAGGAAAAAAAGCGAGGGTAGCAATACTCATATCAGACAAATTAGACTTCAAAAAAAGGGCCATAAAGTGAGACCCAGAAGGTCACTTCATAATACTCAAGGGAAGAATCCACCAAAAAGAAATAAACATTGTAAATATATATGCACCCAACATAGGGGCACCCAAATACATAGAGAAAATGTTAGAAGACTTCAAGAAAGATACTGACAGCAACACAGTTATAGTAGGGCATTTTAACACCCCACTGTCAAAATGGACAGATCTTCCAGACAAAATATCAACAAAGACATTGTGGCATTGAACAATGCCCTAGAGGAAATGGACTTAACTGATATATATAGAAACCTTCATCTCAAGAAGTTAAATACACATTTTTTTCAAATGCACATGGAACATTTTCAAAGATAGACCACATGATAGGACACAAAACAAGCCTCAGAAATTTAAGAAAATTAAACTCATAGAAAGCATTTTCTTCAATCACAAGGGACTGAAACTAGAAACAAACCCCAAGGAAAAAAAAACAAAAAAACTCAAAATTACGGAGATTGAACAGCATGCTATTAAACAATGAGTGGGTCAAAATTGAGATTGGGAAAGAAATAAAAAAATTTTGGGAAACAAATGAAAATGAACTCACAACAATCCAGAATTTATGGGACACATTGCAGGCAGTCCTGAGAGGGAAGTTCATAGCAATACAGGCCTACCAAAAAAAAAAAAAGATAGAAGCATTTCAAATAAACAACCTAACCCTACGCCTACAAGAACACGAGGAACAACAACAAAGACAGTCCAGAACAAGTAGAAGGAAGGAAATAACCAAGACCAGAGCAGAATTAAATGACATAGAGACTAAAAGCACAATTCTAAGGATCAATGAGCCCAGTAGCTGGTTCTTTGAAAAGATAAACAAAATCAACAAGCCTTTAAGCAGGCTCATTAAGAAAAAAAGGGGGAGGACCCAAATAAACACAATCAGAAATGAAAGGAGAGGTTAGAACTGACACCACAGAAATACAAATATTTGTAAGAAATTACTATGAAGAACTGTATGCCAAGAAATTTGAAAACCTAGGTGAAATGCACAAATTTCTAGAAAAATATAATCTATAACTGAATAAAGAAGAAGCATAAAGCCTCGACAGACCAAAAACAGCTGAGAAAATGGAAGTAGTAATCAAAAAATTCCGACAACACAAAGGCCCTAGACCAGACCGATTCACAGAATTCTACAAAATATTTAAGGAAGAGCTAACCCCCATCCTTCACAGACTATTCCAAAAAATCCAAAAAGATGGAAGATTCCCAAACTCTTTTTATGAAGCCAGCATCATCCTAATCCCAAAACCAGAAAAAGACACAACAAGAAAAGAAAACCTTAGACCAATATCACTGATGAGCATAGACTCTAAAATCTTCAACAAAATATTGTTAAACCACATCCACGAATAAATTAAAAAGATCATACACCATGACCAAGTGGGATTTATCTCAAGGATGCAAGGATGGTACAATATTCACAAATCAGTAAGTGTAATATATTACATAAACAAAAACAAAGACAAAAATCATATGACCATTTCAATAGAGGCGGAAAAAGCACTTGATAAGGTATAGCACCTGTTTATAATAAAAACACTCAGCAAAGTGGGAACAGAGGGAGCATTCCTCAACATAATAAAGGCCATATATGGGAGACCTACAACCAACGTCATACTCAATGGGCAAAAACTAAAATCTTTTCCACTAAGGTGAGGAACAAGACAAGGTTGGCCACTTTCACCACTTCTATTCAACACAGCTTTGGCAGTTTTAACCACAATGATCAGACAAGAAAAGGAAATAAAAGGCAACAAATTGGAAAGGAGGAAACAAAACTGTCACTGTTTGCAGATGACATGATAGTATACATAGAAAATCCTATAAACTCTGCCAAAAAATTTCTCAACCTAGTAAATGAATTTGGGAAAACAGTGGGATACAAAGTCAATGTCCAGAAATCAAAGGCATTTTTGTATACCAACAATGAAACAGCATAAGCAGAAATCAAGAAAAAAAAATCCCATTTGATATAGCAACAAGAAAAATAAAATACGTAGGAATAAACCTAACCAAGGAGGTAAAAGACCTGTACTCAGGAAACTATATAACACTGAAGAAAGAAATTAAGAAAGACACAAAGAAATGGAAACATATACCGTGTTCATGGATCGTAAGAATTAACATCATCAAAATGTCCATACTACCTAAAGCAATTTACAGATTCAATGCAATATATATTAAAGTACCAATGGCATATTTCACAGACATAGAACAAACCCTTCAAAAATTTATATAGAACCATTAATGACCCCGAATAGCTGCTGCAATTTTAAGAAAGAAGAGCAAAGTAGGAAGGATCACAATACCTGATACCAAACTATATTATTACAAGGCCACTTTAATCAAAACAGCCTGGGACTGGCATAAAAACAGGCATATAGACCAATGGAACAGAACAGAGAGCCCAGAAATAAACCCAAGTCTCTACAGTCAATTAATATTTGACAAAGGGGGCAGCAACATAAAATTGATTAAAAATAGCCTCTTCAACAAATGGTATTGGGAGAACTGGACAGCTACATGCAAAAAAATGAAACTCGAGCACCAACTTACACCATACACAAAATAAATTCAAGGTGAATAAAAGATTTAAATATAAGTCATGACACCATTAAAGTCCTAGAGGAGAACGTAGGCAGGAAAATCTCAGATATTTCACACAGGAACATTTTCAGTTATGTCCCCTAAAGGAAGGGACATAAAGGAAAGAATAAACAAATGGGATCTCATCAAAATAAAAAGCTTCTGCATGACTAAAGAAACGGTATTAAAATAAAAAGAGAACCAACTGTATGGGAGAACATTTCCAACGATACCTCAGACAAGGGTTTAATCTCCAAAATATATAAAGAACTCACACAACTCCACTCTAAGAAGACAACCCAATTTGAAAATGGGTCTGCCTTTTGACCTAGCAATTTCACTGCTAGGATTATGTCCTAAGAACCCTAAAACACCAATCCAAAAGAACCTATGCACCCTAATGTTTATAGTAGCACAATTTACAATAGCCAAGTGTTGGAAGCAACATAGATACACATCAGTAAATGAATGGATGAAAAAACTATGGTACATTTACACAATGGAATTCTATGCAGCAGAAAGAAAGAAGGAGCTCCTATCCTTTGCAACAGCATGGATGCAACTGGAAAGTATTATGCTAAGCGAAATAAGCCAGGCACTGAAAGACAAATACCATATGATCTCACCTTTAACAGGAACCTAAACAACAAAACAGAGAAACAAGCAAAATATAACCAAAGACACTGAAATAAAGAATAGACTGACAGAGTTCAGAAGGGAGAGGAGAGGGAATTTCAGGGGGAAAGAGGAAGGGTTTACAGGACTGAGTATAAAGGACACATGGATAAAAACTAGGGGCAGGTGGAAATGGGAGGGAGGAGGGGAGGGCTGGGAGGGTGGGTTGGGATGGGAGTAAAAGATAGGAAATTGTATTGCAACAACAATTTAAATAGAAATTTTTTAAAACAGAAAGAAAATGGGTAAAGGACTTGAACAGACACTTCTCCAAGGAGGACATACAGAGTATCTGGAGACAAATGAAAAGATGCTCAGTATCACTAGCTATTAGAGAGATGGAAATTAAAACCACAATGAGACAGTACTTCACAATGGTCAGAATGACCATCATAACCAAATTAACAAACAAGTGTTAGAGAGGTTCTGGAGAAAAGGGAACCCTAGTGCACTGTTGGTGGGATTGTAGACTGGTATAACCACTATAGAAAACTGATGCAGACTCTGGCCAACAGTGTCCACGTCATTATGGACGAAATGAGATATTAACATGGACGACTACCAATTCCAGTTCAGAAAAATGGACAGCATGGCCTTTCTCTCAAGGGAAGCAAAGGCCTTGGTCCTTGCCGTGACCAGCCTTTATTGGGTTTCTCAGCAGATTACATGATGGTCCTTATTTACTATGCACAGGTTCGCTTTAGGTGGTTACCTTTTATTGAAAACCAAGGAGCCAATGCTGCTAATCACAGAAGAGGAATATTTGCAAATGAAAATGCAAAAGTGGTTGAACTGGTTACACTAATCCTTGGAACGTTTAGCATGGAGTTTAGGAAGTTAACTGCAGTAAATGTCCTCAATTCAGGGTTGAGGGAGTTTTTTAACAAGAGCAAGACTCAAAGTGGCCTAGGCACATTGCAGGCCTGATTCCCCACGGGAGATCCTATCCACGGGCATGGGTCCTGTGCATCTCCAAGTGGCAGCTGGGCCCACGCCACGCAGAAAGTTCTCCTACAGAAAACAGTATGGAATTTTTCTCAGAAAACTAAAAATGGATCTGCCTTTTGACCCAGCAATTTCACTGCTAGGATTATATCCTAAGAACCCTAAAACACCAATCCAAAAGAACCTATGCACCCCAATGTTCATAGCAGCACAATTTACAATAGCCAAGTGTTGGAAGCAACCGAGGTACCCATCAGTAAATGAATGGATGAAAAAACTATGGTACATTTACACAATGGAATTCTATGCAGTAGAAAGAAAGAAGAAGCTCCTACCGTTTGCAACAGCAATATTCCATGGATGGAACTGGAAAGCATTATGCTAAGCGAAGTAAGCCACTCAGTGAAATACAAATATCATATGATCTCACCTTTAGTGGGAATCTAATCATCAAAACAAACAAACAAGCAAAATATAACCAAAGACACTGAAGTAGAGAATAGGCTGACAGTGATCAGAGGCAGAGTGGAGGGAATTTCAGGGGAAAAGGGGAAGGGTTTACAGGAACAAGTATAAAGGACACATGTACAAAAACAAGGGGTTGGAAATGGGAGGGAGGTGGGGAGTGCTGGGTTGTGGGCTGGGATGGGAGTAAAAGGCAGAAAACTGTACTTTCACAACAATTAAAATAAAAAAAATTAAAGACATTTAAAAGTGTACTTTCCAGGGGAACAACATCCTGTGATTTTTTTTTTTAATTCTAGGAAAGAACTTGAAACAAGGGAGTATTTTAGTGATGCTGAGTTCCGGGAAGCCTTAGCCAAGGAAGTAGCTAAAGAAGAGACAAAGCATGAGCAAGAGATAAAAGAATACCAAGAAAAAATTGACACATTAAACCAGCAGTACCTGGATTTAGAGAATGAATTTCGTATAGCTTTAACTCTTGAAGCCAGAAGATTTAAAGACGTAAGAATTGGTATTTAGGTTTTTATTGAAAACAGAACCAGCAGCATATGGTTTGATGAGAGAACCACACTTTAGAGTTCTAGCTTTGTTGACATGTTGGCTATCTGACCTTAAGCAGATCACTTAAAATCTTAGAGCCTTAGTTGTTCTGCTGAAATAATAACTTCTTGTCAGAGCTGTTCTCAAAGTCAGTGAGATTGTAAATGGTCAGGTACAGAGAGGATTTGGAAACCTGAATCTGTGGTTTCTGTAGAGCAGACATTGGCATACTAAACCCCAGCTTTGGCCTCCGTTTGCCAAGTGTTACTAGAAAACAGCTATGCTATTGTGTACTGTCAACACAGATCACCTGGCCTAGCCTGCAAATCCAGTTATCTGTGAATTTTTTTCTTATGCTAAACTTGTGTGATTCTAGACATAAAACAAGTAAACTGTTTCCAGAAACAAATATTTTCTAAGTATTTGGAGAACTTCTATTTATAATGCAATTTTGCAATATAGGTTAAAGATGGTTTTGAAAGTGTTGCAACTGAGTTAGCAAAGAGCAAACATGCTCTTGTTTGGGCTCAACGGAAAGAAAACGAGTCTTCCTCTTTAATTGAAGATCTGACTTGCATGGTGAAGGAGCAGAAGACAAAACTTGCAGAAGTTTCCAAATTGAAACAGGAAACAGCAGCAAATTTGCAGGTAAGACATTGTAACACTTTCTTTTCAAATTGTTTCATCTTCTCAAGGACCTGAAGTAATTTTTAGGAAGTGCACAGTTTTAACAAATACTAATTGTGTATTTGATGCCTATGAGAAAAATAATAAAACTAGGAGAGTAATGTGATTTTGGAACATGCTGTTTACACTAAAATAGTATTTAAATAAAATAAGTGAATTAATTTTAAGAAACATAGTAAATAGGTGGCAGTTGCACAGTGACAGCAAAAATTCTGATGGCAATACTCAAATAGTTGAAGTTTGGGAAATAGCCAGTGAGTCACTAGAACTACTTTTGTGGTAGTGCCAGCTTTTTAGTATAACTACTGTAATACTTTTTAAATTAATTTCTGTTATCGCCATTTTAAACTTTAGGGATATTTTGCCCAAGAGGACTTCCTTCCTGCAGGTAACCTTTAGACTACTGATATAAATGCTGAGAAATCTTTAGTGTTACAGGTCTAGTTCCTCTTTTAGGGTATTAGAATAAAATTCAGAGTGTTAGAAGGAGTAGCCTCTTCTAATTTGACTTTTTATTTCCTCACCTACATTTGTCTTTAGTTAATAAAACTAAAACTTTTTCTTATATAAAACTGAGGAACATTGACTTGGTATTTGCTTAAATAACACTTTTTCTTATAAAATGCAAAAATAGAAAATAAAGGATTCAAATATAATGATTATTTTGCATTTTTTTCAATGTTTTTGGGGAGTATACAGAATCAAATCAACACCCTTGAAATCCTGATTGAAGATGACAAGCAGAAGAGTATCCAAATTGAACTTCTCAAGCATGAAAAGGTCCAGCTTATTTCTGAGCTAGCAGCCAAGGAATCACTAATTTATGGTTTAAGGACAGAAAGAAAAGTGTGGGGACATGAACTGGCACAACAGGGTAAAATTCTCAAATTTTTAATGGGAAAATAGCCCATTTTTCTAAAGGAACAAATCTGTGTATTAGAGAGAAAAGGAAGGGCTTTCCTGCTCCTACAACCAAGAGCCATGGCCACATTCTCTATGCACCTCTTGGGAACAGGAAATAGGTTATTATACCAACTATAGGTTATCACTCTGATTCTTTTGTTGTTGCTTTTCTTCCCAGTATAATTGGGTTACTTTTCTCAACAGGTCTACCTCTAGAGTGCTATCTGTTGAATGAGTTGTTGAAAATAATTACTTCCTATACAGTGATTTTGAATATTTGTACAGATGCAACAGCATTCAGGTTTTTTCTAAAAATGTTGGTAATAGTTATCTTGTTATACATGGAGAAATGTGAAATGGTCTATCGATGAAAACCACTGTCTGCTTAGGTAAACTTACCTTCAGTCCATTCCCTTTCCAATCGCAGTACAACAGGAGATGGCTCATTTTAGGACTTTCATGGACAGTTGACAGATATTGGTTTTAATGGAGCATGATTCATCTGTCATTCCACATAAGAATATTTTTCACGTGGTTTGGGTTGGTTGTGTGCCATAACATGATTAATTAAATGTGATAGTATCTGCCTGAGTTACTTGTTCTCAGTTTGTTGTTTGAGGTTTTCAAATAGCTACAGGTATTTAAAAGGCCTTTTTATTCTCTGGCCCTTCCTCTTCATATTGTGCTAATCTATCTTCTTTTTTTAATCAGTTCTTTTGTGTTACTCTATTATGCATTGTTAAAATGTGTGTGTTTATAAAATACAAATCCTCCATGGCCTTCTAAAGTTTGTTACTGGTGATGTTTGTTTCTCAGGATCCTCTCTAGCCCAGGACCATGGGAAACTAGAGGAGCAGATTGAAAATTTATGTAGAGAAAATGAATCTCTGCGGAAGGCAAATGAACGTGACAGTGACACGTTAAGAATTAAGTGCAAAATCATAGAAGACCAAACTGAGACTATCAGAAAATTAAAAGTTGTAAGTTTGATGTTTTATTTTGGGGAAAGGGCGTATGGCAGGTTTGAAAAACATTGATTCTGTGGATCAGAATATCCAATTAATGCTTGTCTCTGAATCCCAACCATTGTGATTTTTATGACAGATTATCATTTGTTTCCTTTTGCAGTATTTGCCCCTTTACTTTTAAAAGTGGTATTGGGCACTCATTTATTAACTTAAAATTACTTTCACTTCAAAATTTTATGGAGAATGTTTTTAGGATCCTTTGAAATAACTGGAAATAGTGTCAATAATGTTTTATATGTTTAAAATATTCTTTAAAAGCATTGTTTAGTATCATTCAATATTGCTAACTCACTTCTCAAAGGTATGACAAACCTGCTCTCCTTAAAGGTATATGAATAGATTACAAGATTCATCCTAGTTCCCAAGGACACTGTGTATACCCTTTTCTTCAGTTGGGCCTATCTTGAGAGAATACTAACAAATATCGCTTGTTTCAAAGCATCTTACATGAAAATTCTCCAGAGAAATTTACTGAAAATAATCTTGAGCATTAAATCAAACTTGAATTTCAAAATTTTCTTCTAGAGGTTATATCTTAAAGTGTAAAAATAACTGAAAGGGGATTTTTTTAAGAAACTTCTTAATGGGGTTATCACTCATAAAATTAGGAACTCACTCTTTAGAGAAATTATAACTACCTAAGATTTTTTCCTTAGTCATTTTTAAGAAACTTCTTGAGAAGCTAACATCATCAAGTACAGAAAATAAAGAAACCTATTTATCCCCATATTGCTTTATCCATAGCTAGATATAGGTATGAATGCTTGAACTATCCTTAACTCAGTTGAAAATTTGGTCTCAGTATAGTCAGTATTTCAAATATATTGGTCATTTGTGCCAAACTGCACTGAAAATTAATAAATTTTTTTAGAAGTAGGCCTTTTTTCTTGTTTTAGAAATCTAGCCAAGCTTATTTTCTTTTGAATTAAAGTAATATATGAAACAGAAAGGCTAGTGATTTGTATTTAAGTTTCACAAGGCAAAGCAGGTGATACATTTGGCATAGTATATTGTGTTTGACTTAACCACACAGTAAGACTGATGCCTTCTCAATCTGAGCAGAGTTTTAGAAGAAAATGACATAATGACACAGTGGAGCCAAACAACAAGATAGATTTAGTTTTAGATTTTTAGTAAAATATACAAAAGATTTTTAGATTTTTACCCAATATTTTTTCTCCACAATCTAATACATTTACTTTAACTAACATTCTGTCAGCCTCAAAGATATGAGTGTTAATGGTACTTCCAAATAATCACATAACATACAGAGGTAGCCAGGCATAATTTTTTTCAGCAGTAGAGTCAGTGTTAGGTAGCCAAGGTGGCTAAGAAGAGACCTGGAACCAGAAAAGTCCAATTAAGGGCTAAAGGCTTTTATTCAAGGCAGGCTGGGTCTGAATGGATGGCAGCCCCAAGGGCAAAAGTAGAAGAGCTCTTAAAGTATGTAGTGGACCTTTGGGGGGAGGATGAGTCATCCTGCTGATCTGCTCCAGGTGTCCTGGGTATCTGATCAGGGAGGGCTTATTCTGTAGAAAGGTAGAAGAAGAGAGGGAGAAGGCAGAGAGGATTCAACTGGTTTCCAGCAGGAAGCTAGAGGCTGTGCCTCAGTTGCTTCTGATATGGGGAATCTCATGGTCAGGTGTTTAGCTGGTGATGGGTTAGGCCCAGGTCCCAGTACATTCTAACAGTCAACATAACTAATAACTTAAAGGGATATTGACCTAATCAGAAAAATTTCGAGTTTGATGTTTTCAACTAAGTAAATTGTATAGTTAGCTTCTGATTATGGAAGTCAGAAACAGATCTATTTTTTGAAATTCTGTTTCCTCTCCATGTATTATTTTGGTACTTTTCAGCATATATGGATCATAAGACTCTGATGCTGCAATGTTATTGTTAATAGGGTTATTTTATAAGAATCCTTTATGGCTTTTGTGGTTTCTTGGTAATATATACCAAGACTGCTCACTCCTAAGTAGTTCAGGGAGTTATGCGAGAAAATAAACAATTCATGACTTATGCAAATGTTGATCAAGACTACCTGACTACCTTTGCTCAGAATTTTTTAATTCTGTAACATTGTGAGAAACTGAACCACATTCTGTATGAGACTTAAGAATCTGTACTTCAATTAGACTTGCCCAGCATTTGTTTGCCTCCATCTTTCCAAGAGGAACAAAAGGCAAAGGCAAGGGGGGCAGGGAAGAATAAGGGCAAAAGTAAGATCCATTTCCATCTTCTCACCTGTAACCCAATGCTAGTGTGCAGCAGGCTGTCCCAGAGGCCCAGAGAGCCCGATTCAGAAGACCAAGTTCATTGGGATAAACAGCCTATGTGAGGCCTAGAATCTGCAACATTGCACAGAGCTTCAGGTGGTTTGATCCTCCTATGAGTCTGACTCACATTACAGAAGACATAATAAAAGGAAGTTTGGGGAGATATAAAGCCTGTTTGCATGTGAAATTTTAGTAGCAATGAAATCATCATTTCAAAGTATTTGCACAATAGAAATAGTTTGATTTATACCATTGCATCCAATGACCATCAGCCTTTGTTGTATTGCTATCAGCCATGTAGCAGGGTTTTCTTTCTCTCCCTGTCATGAGAACACAGATTCTTTCAAATGCAAGATAATGTTAATTGAAATTTTCATTCTGCTGCTTTCTCTTTCCCTTCTACTCCCTGTGTGGGTAACAGTTACTAACTTCATGAAGTGGAAAGTGTGAATAGGACAAAAATTTTCTTTGTTAATAGCACTTAAAGTAGTAGTGATGTTTCTTAGTGATGGTGATAAACAATATTCTGTAAGTCTTTTCTAAAACACACATTGAACATTCAATTTATTTCTAACTTGTACTTTTTATAACAATCTTAAACCATATCTAATTAATTAGGAAATGAGACACCCTGGATTAATAACGTATTGATTATTTTCTTGAAGTGTTTACAGGAAAGAGAGGAACAAGTCAAAATATTACAGGAAAAGATCACTGAAATACAGAAATGTACTCAAGAACAACTTAATGAAAAATCTTCACAACTGGATGACATAATTGAGAAACTAGAAAGACACAATGAAAGGAAAGAAAAACTAAAACAGCAGTTGCAAATAAAGGAATTAGAACTTGAAGAAATTAGAAAAGCTTACAGGTATTCTACAGTGTTTCCCATTGAGAAGTAAAATGTGCCTTAATAATTTTGTATAACCGGTTTTATCTCTAACATTATCTCTTCTCATTCAGTACACTTAATCAAAAGTGGCATGATAAAGGGGAACTTCTCTGTAATCTGGAAATGCAAGTAAAGGAAGTAAAAGAGAAATTTGAAAACAAGGAAAGGAAACTCAAAGCGGAGAGAGACAAAAGTATTGAACTACAAAAGTAAGCATTAAGTCCTCAAGTGGCAGAGCCCTCTGTTAAATGGAAACATTGGATTGGGATGAGTGAAATGCATAAAAAGAAAAAGGGACGGGGAGGAAAGGAGGGAGGAAGCTGAAATGGTTGAGGGGAAAGATCTGGTTCTTCTTGCTGATTCATGTAAAGAATTACATATCAGCAAATCTAGTAGCATGTAATCAGTTTATTAGTGGCCCATTCCCATGGAAGAGAACAGGACTGGGTAGAGTAGGGGGTGAAAGGCAAAGTTTCAGGGCAAAACAGGTGACATAAGCAAGAGTGGCTGAAGACCAGGGTGGCAAGCCCCTGGGCAGCCTGAGGCCGGCTGGCCAGAGGCCCAATGGCCCAAGAGCCAAGAGCACCCTGAGCCCCCAAGAAAGAGCAAGTCCTTTGTTATGAGGACTTATATAGCTGGTGGGATAGGAGGGAAAAAAAGTTACATATTGATTAACGGGTAAATGTGGTGCCAGCTTTCCTGGGGGAATGTGACTACCCAAACTTAGGTATGTGTGGGGGTCTGTTAGCTCAAATCCTTATCTTGCTCCAGACCCCATTTGTTCATCTCATTGTAAAACAAATATGTGACAGGAGGCAGTTAATTAAAATTGGGGCACTTTCCAAAGTTATTTATGGGCTCTTTCTGTAAGCATCAGGGACTCCCTCATAAAACAGATAGTGACCAGAGGTAGACAATTAACCAAAGTTGTTTAATGGGCTTCTTCTTTGGACACTGGGTACCCTCTCCCACATTACAGGCCCTGGGATGAAAGCACACTTTCGAGGCCTTCTTTCCCAGATAGTAGGAACACTACATAGAATTTCAAGGACTTCCCTTCTTTCTTGCTAAAATAGTGTCTCTTGTGATGCTGGAACACCTGGCAATATTATCAGACCAGGCTCAGGACTGCTGAGTTAGTGTGTGAGACTTGTCTCCTTCCTCCTCCCTGCCTCAGTTTACTATTTATTCTACCTAATTGGTAAAAGGCATTTCCTTATAACCAGGGTGCTAAATGCTGGTCTGTAACAGTACTGCAGTCTCAGAGTTCTTCCTATGCTGTCTCCTGCCTCAAAATCATGTTGGAGGCAGTTATTTGGCAAATACTTTCTTTCCCTTTTATCATTCCATATGTTTTCATGCTCTTTGATTGATAGTAGCCAGTGGTATTTTTGGCCATTGTGTGTGGGCTTCAGAGGAGTAAGTCGCCTGACCTCCGCAGGCACTGAGTGACAGAAGCAACTGCTGATTTCAAAGGGGAAGAAAATGTGTTCCAAGGTTCTGGTTGTGTGGGTTTCATAAATGCTCTAGAGGAAATGCAGGTTTTACCTTCTAAGATCTATAGCTAAATCTTTTAAAATAATTTATAAAGTTTATTGCCTTGGAAATAGGTAGTGCAGTTTCACCATCAGTCTCATGTTGAGATATAGAGTGGTATAGACAGCAGCGCACACGGACTCACATAGGGGTGGTCCCCATTCTAGCATACCTCATAGGACCTGGAGTTGGAGTCCTCAGATTTTAACTCCACGTAATTGAAAGTGTTAATCCTGAGCGCAGGCTAGGAACCAAAGTGTTCCAGGTTCGATTCCCAGCCAGGGTACATTCCTGGGTTGCAGGCCATAACCCCCAGCAACCGCACATTGATGTTTCTCTCTCTCTCTCTCTCTCTCTCTCTCTCTCTCTCTCTCTCTCTCCCTCCCTTCCCTCCCTAAAAATAAATAAATAAAATCTTTTAAAAAAAGTGTTAATCCTCTCCAGAAAGATTTGATTGATTGATTGACAGTAGTTACTCATTTGTCTGCTAACACACCCTGTTATACTTTGTTTTTAACCAACTGTTCCAGAGTCCTCAGCTTGGAACCTGTTCAACTCTCTCCCCTGCCTGTCAGAGCTTTGCAATTGGCAGTCCTTTAGATACTGTAAGAAAGAATCATCCTTATAAATAGCAATTCCTAAACTTAATAAAAATCATAAAGCCTGACAAGTTTTAGAATCCCTTACATTACGTTGTTGAGCGTGTTATTCATTCATGGCAAAACAATAGACTTGATTTTATGTGTTAATACCTTTATGACTAAGATTGGTAGATATGATTTTTAATTCAATGGAATTTTAATAAAATGAGTTCTTGTTAATAAAAACATTTTTACTTGTATAGCTTTTTAATATATAAATTGACTTTTTTTCTTGTATTTTTTTAACCCAGCAGTGAGGTTGGCAGGATTATTCCATTTTTATAGTGAACAACCTCAGTGTAGACTGGAGAGTTTAACTTCCCTTCAGTTACATGGTTACTGTGTTGTAACTGGGAATAAAAGAGGCTCTGATTTGTGGTCCTGATGTTCAATCTGCTGTTTTTATGGGTGATGCCAAAACCAGAAAATGTTTCATTGTGGACTTAACTTTTTACATAAAATCATTCATATTTAATAATCATTCATATTGATGTTTTGGCTCAAGCTTTTAGCACTAAAATTTTGTGAATACTACTTAGTGTGTTTATTAACCTAGGGTTTTATCTAATAAGTATTAGCACAGGGAAGCCAGACATACCTGTTTATAAATGTAAACCTGCCTGTGGTTTACTTCTCAAATTATTATCACACCACAAATACATGGAGGGAAAAAGAAGTGATGATAGATATCTGTGAAGGTGCTTATAAACAATTTCCTTAGACTCAGAATAAATGAGAACCAGAGTACTCAAAACTTTCAGAGGGTGGGTATGCAGAGGTTACCCTATCCTATTCTGCTACTAACTGGTCCTCCTGTGTGGTGAACTGCTCATATCTCCCCAGAGTTACCTGAGATAGATAACCCTTTGCTATTTAATGGAGTTATGCTTCTATTAAAATATGCTTGTTACCCTGGCCAGGTGGTTCAGTTGGTTGGAGCATCAGTCTGTGCACCAAAAGATCATGGGTTTAATTCCCAGTCCGGGCACATTCCTAGGTTGTGGATTCGGTCCACATTCTGGGCAGGTATGGGAGGCAGCCGATTGATGTTTCTCTCCCTCTAAAATCAATAAATATATTCTCAGGCATGTATTTTTAAAAAATGAATATACAAGCTGCCATCTCAGAAGTAAAAGAAAAACATCCTAACTTTTATGCACAGAGATGTGTGGTTTTTTTTCTGTTTTTAAGGGATGCTATGGAGAAGCTTTCTAGTATGGATGATGCCTTTAAAAAACAAGTTGAAGCAATTGTTGAAGCTCATCAAGCTGAAATTATACAATTGGAAAATGAAAAGCAGAAATATATTGATTCTGCAAATTTAAAGGTACTGTAAGTAAAATGCACTTTGATTATGAGTATTGAATTGTAACAGCTAAATAAATTGAGAATTATAAAGAAAAAAGGCAGCATCATTTAATAACCAAATAAATGTGACGAATGTTGCCAAGACTATCATGAAGCCAGGCCAAAATATTGGTAATTCTTAAAGTGGTTATAGAATAGAATTCTAATTAAACCAAAATTGAAAGTTTGATTCTCGTGTGCACCTGCTCTGTGATCTCTCGATAAAAATTGCCATCTCCCTAACCAGTCTCAGAGCAAAGCCCATTTGCTTATACATAAGCAGGGTGAAAATTGAATGTATCAAGTACAATCCATCACTACTCTGGAAAAATTCTCAAGAAGTATTTTATTAATAATTAGGGTTCAGGACTATCAAGTTTATCATATTAATATCACTTACAAAGGAGCTTTTAATAATACATGTGCATGAGCTTCCCCCTGAAATTTTTGTTTACTAAGTCTGGGAGCGGATCCAGGTATTTTTATTTATTTATTTATTTTTAAAGATTTTATTTATATATTTTTAGAAAGAGGGGAAGGAAAGGAGAAAGGGAGAGAAACATCTGTGTGGTTGCCTCTAGTGTGTCCCATACCAGGGACCTGGCCCACAACAGAGGCATGTGCCCTGACTGGGAATCAAACCCGCAACCCTGTGGTTCACAGGTTGGTACTCAATCCACTAAGCCACACTAGCCAGGCCAGATCTAGGTATTTTTAAAACTCAACAGTTGATTCAGATGTGACTCCTATGTTGAGATCCGCCAGCTGAGCAGACAGTTACGAAATTTTATATTTCCCTGATTTTGAAGTGGTAGTAAGAAACAAATACAGTAGTCCCCTCTATGCAAATCCACCCTTTTGCTTTCTGAGGTTTCAGTTACCCATGGTCAATTGTGGTTTGAAATAGTAAGTAAAAAATTCCAGAAATAATTCATATGTTTTAAATTGAGCACCATTCTGAGTAGCATGATGAAATCTATCTTGCCCTGGATGTGAATCATCTTTTTATCCAGCGTCTCCATGCTGCGTGTACTCCCTTCCCATTAGCATTAGTAGCCACCTTGGTGATCAGACTGACTGTTATGATATCGCAGTATCACAGTGCTTGTGTTCAAGTAACATTTATTTTACTTAATAATGGCCTCAAAGTGCAAGAGTTGTGATGCTGGCAACTCGGACATGCCAAAGAGAAGCCATAAAGAGCTTCCTTTAAGTGGAAAGGTAAACATTCTGGACTTAATAAAGAAAGAAAAAAATCGTATGCTGAGGTTGCTGAAATCTACATTAAGAATGAATCTTCTATCATGAAATTCTGAAGAAGGAAAAAGAAATTTGTACTAGTTCTGCTGTTGTACCTCAAACTGCAAAAGTTACAGCGACAGTGTGTGATGAGTGCTTAGCTAAGATGAAAAAGGCATTAAATTTGTGGGTGGAAGACATGAACAGAAAATGTGTTCTGATTGATGGCAACATGTTGCTCAGAAAGCACTGAGCCTGTGTGAGGACTTCAGCAAGGGAGCCCCTCAAACGAGTGACATGAGGCCATTTACTGCAAGTGAGGGATGGTTACAGATTCAGGAATAGGTTTGGCATTTTATCACCTCACATCATCTCAAGAATAAGAAGGGTAAGTACAGTACAGTAAGATGTTTTGAGAGAGATCACATCACATAAATTTTATTATAGTATATTGCTCTGATTATTTTATTATTAATCTCTTGCTGTGCTTATTTTATAAATTAAGCTTCTATCATATATATGTACATATAGGGAAAAAATGTAGCATATATGGGGTTTGGTACTATCTGTGGTTTTAGGCAGCCACGGTGGGGGGGTCATGGACGGTATCCCCATGGATAAGTGGGATGACTGTCTTCTGTAAGATCGGAGACTCAGAAATGAGCAGATGGAAGAGTCAAACAACAGAAGGGGAAAGGCATACTCCATATCATTATAATCAAGGTGGTTTTATTAGTGGATATTGATTGTCCTCAGGAGCCTGTGAAGGTAGATGGATGAGGGCTTTGGAAATAATCACAATTAATAAGGAAGTATAATTTCTTCAGAATTCTTTATTTCATGTCAAGTCAACAGATGATTTAAATGTTTTATTTAAAATATGAGGAGTGTTGGCTAGGGTTTATTAGGTGCTAAATAAAGCATAAGGTTAGGCCCTTGGCTAAAGGGAAAACAGTTCTGATTTGGACCCCTCCTGCTGATACAGTGTAATATTAAAGGGATATGTCTGTTTAGGAGTTAGATTAATGGCACCAGAACTTACATGTGACAAGAAAGAAAAATAGGAGAAATACTAGCTTTCTGCGGGATAAAGAATAGGAAATCTATATTAGGGATTAGGAAAAGTGACAGGCCTTGTGATAGTTCTGTTGGGAGAGCTTTATGTATCATAGAAGAGAATTTCAACAAGAAATTAATAGTATCAATTACAGAAAATTCTAGGAAAGTGTAGGTTAGGAATAAATGATGACCTCTCGAATAGAAGGTACTTTATAACCACCAACAGCAACTGTAGAAATGCAGTAAGGAACTTTACTATAGTATTAGGGAGGGGAGGTTATGTCAGGTTTGAAAGTCCTTAAGGGTCTCGTGTTTAAGGTAAATTCATGTCTCAGCCTTCACTGCACCACAGGACAGTACAAAGATTAAGCCAGAAGACTTTCTGTCCAGACATGGTACTGAGAAAGCTGCACAACTTTCAACAGATTTTTTAAAGCTCTATAATAGAGTTTAAATAAATTACCATGTGTTCATCACCAGAACTTATGAGAAATAGATAATGCACACGTATGTACTTTGTATCCAGCATAAACATCATACTCCCAATTAGTATTTGAACAAGTTACCTTTTACAACTTCTTGGCTTTAAATAAATGTCACAGTTGCAAAGTGCATAGAATCAATTTTTGACCTTTTTCTTTCAGAATGCATTTTAAAATCTATTTAAGAAATTTAAATGTAAAATTTATATTTGATTTAGGTTCATCAGGTTGAAGAAGAAATGCGTGAACTTCTGCAAGAAAACTGCAAGAACAAAAAAGCAATGGAAGCAAAAATTAAGCAACTGGCTTTTGCACTAAATGAAATTCAACAAGACTTGTAATGGTTCTGAGAATGAATTTAATTGAAATGGACCAGCTGACCTATTGTAAAAATGATTAAATATTGTAATAGTAGTAACTGCTACGACTTTGAAATGTCTCTTTCTACACATTTCATTCTGATATTTTAAAAGACTTGAAAAAGTATTTAATTGTATATGTAGATTTTTATAACAAATTGTTTATAAATATGTGTATTAGAAAAACCTATCAAAATAACTAGACGTTAAGACACTTTGTTTCTGTGCTATACATTGTGTGATAATTACACATTTGCCTATAAATATGTAAATGAACATTACGTTAGCTTTTAACTATATTAGGGAAAGTATTTTAACAATTGTTGCCTTATTGTATTGATGAAGAACTAATTATATTCATTGGTTGTCTTTTAGTTGATGTAGCTCCATTCTTTCAAAATGCTCATACGTACAGCCAAAAGGTATCTGAAATCTGTATGATCAAAAGATGTGACACTGATAAGAAAGCGTATATTGCCATCTCCATATTACTCCTAATGACCCCTTTTTTATGATATATATGACTTTTTTATTAAACATTACATTTAAGTTTTCATAAACATTGTCTATTCCTCAAGAGGAACACTACTCTTTCATCCTCTATTGTTTCATTTTTCCTTTTAATCATTATATATATGAAGGGAATTCTTATTTTGCAACTGGAAACAATTTTCTTTCATTAGTCTGGTCATTTATTACTCTTTTGCTTTTGTCATTTCTTACGTTCCTATGTATACAGAACAAAAACCTAAATACTATTCTCCTCACTGTTTTTGAAAAAGAATATGATACTATGTTTTTAACAAATATTGAGTGAACTAAGTTTTAAAAATTAGATGGAATCAGAAAACAATGTAAATGCTTCTAAAAGAGAGAATCACATTTCATTATGGGCAAGCTTCACACTGACATCTGTGGGACAGCACTGAGCATACCAAGGAGGAATGGAAGTTAGGGGGAGAGGAGGACATAAGAAATATTTGGTAAAATAATAACCTAAAAAGATCAACCTACAGTCCTAAGAGTTTCCATAAAACCCAGGACAGACAGGAAGAGAACCACACCTACACACTTTATAGTCAAACTGTTGGGAAAATCTTGAAAGCAACAAGGAAATATGGTTTATCTCATATAGAGGAGCAATATAATTAACAATTGACCTAATCAGAAACAGTGGAGGCCCAAAGATAGAAGATGACATACCTGAAGTGTGGAAAGACAAGGAACTGTCAGTCTAGAATGCTACATCCTTCAGAGGAAAGAGAATATGTATTGCTAGCCAAACTGCCTGAAAAAAAAAGTTAAAGACTGTCCTAAAGGCTAAAAGGAAATGTTATCAGACACTAACTCAAGTCCACTGGAAGAAATAAAGGATATTGGAAACATATGTGGGTAAATTTTTACATGAGATCTTAAGTATATTTTTCTTCCACTGGAAGACTATGTAAAGCAATTATAACACTTGGATTTATAGCATATATAGGATATGTGAAAAAATAGCATGAATTGGAAGAGGGAAATAAAGCTATATTGTAGTAACTTATTTTACCAAATTAGTACTGATCTGAAGAAGACTGATAAATTAAAATACATATTGTAATCATAGTTAAAATGTCAGCAGAGGAGATTCCACTTCTGGAAAGGAGCACAAGGAACTCTGCTGGCCTGTTTCCCAGCAAAACAACCTTATCTGCCGAAGATTTTAAAACACCTATTTAAAAACTCTGAAAATTGTCCTAAGAGCAATAGCAAGTAAAGACATTCATTGAATAAGACTTACTAAATCTCTGTCAACAGCAAAAGCCTGAAGCACTGAACCATATGCATCTCCCATCACCTTCTGCTCATCCTAAGGGAGATTCATTGGTGGATGGTTATGGCCAAGAAGATAGGTTTCCCATCCACTCAGTCTGTCAGTCACCAGACTGCTCAAGCTGACAGCCTCTCCCCCAAGCTTGAGGAGCCAGCAAGACTCAAGTCACCACAATCAGCAATGAAAACAAGGACATAATAATAATGGGATGGGAGGAAAGTGGGAGTTGATAACTATGTTCATTGTCTTCACGGTGATAATTTCATGACTCATTAAGAATAATATGTGAATGTTTTACATGCCAATTTTACCTAAATGAAGTGGTTTAAAAATATTTCATTGGCATTGTCATCAAAAAGGAAGTTATTAGGTTAAATTTAACAAAGGAAGGGCGAATCTTAAGTACAAAACATTGTTAGAAAGCTATTCATGGGTTGGAAGACTTGAGATGGTCATCCTCCCCAAAGTTATCTACAGATTCAGGGCAATCCTTATCAAAGCCCCAGCTAGCTTGTTTGCAGAAGTTTCTAAAATGATCCTAAAATTCAAAGAAATCAAAGGGAACTAAAGTAGTTAAAACCATGTCGAAAAAGGAGAACAAAGTTGAGAAACGCACATTCCTGATTTCAAAACTTACTGGAAAAACCAGTAACCGAGACTGTCACTGGCATAAAGATGGATGTGCTCATTGATGGAATTCAACGATCTGGAAACGACTCGTTTGGAGCGGGGGTGGGGGAGCTGTGGAGCTGAGGAGCTGCGGGCCAGGCAGGTGGAGACACTGGCTCCGCCCCCTCCTCAAGGCCCCGCCTTCTTTCTCCGCCCCTACCCCCGCCGCCCGTGCGTCTCCCAGCAACCTCGGTTGGCGTCACTTCCTGCCATTTAAACTCGGCGTCGGCGGGGCGCTATCAGGGATGGCGGCGGCCGAGCCCGGGAGCACCGGGCAGGCGACGCAGCAGAGCCAGGGGCAGAGCCACCGGCCGCCCCCTTCGTCTCCTGCTCCGCCACCGCAGGTCGGGGGCCCGGCGGGCGGGAGCAGCCGGCACGAGAAGAGCCTGGGGCTGCTGACCGCGAAGTTCGTGTCGCTGCTTCAGGAGGCGCAGGACGGCGTGCTGGACCTCAAGGCGGTGAGGATACCGCCGCGGGATGCGGGGGGAGGGGATGCTGGCGGGGAGCCTGACCCGCCGCGTGGCCACAGCCCGGCCCGCGCTCCACAAAGAGCCGCTGTCCCGCTTTTCGGGCCCGCGTCCCGAGGTCACCGCTGTTGGGATTAGGTGGTTTCCATGGGCCGTTCTGATGGCCACCGTCCCCGCCTTGCTCAAAACAAAAACAAAAGCTATTTAACCATCCATTCCGGATGAAAGAAGGAAAAAATGTAACACCTCCCCCCTCCTGCCCACTAAAATAATGGTGACGAAATCCTCTTCCTCGTCCACTTTTCACGGTCCGGCAGTTGTGGGGAACGTTCGGTGTGTGACGTATTTCGGCATCAGTCGCAGGTCTCTAAGGTGGGGTTTTCCATGTCTCGAGAAGGGCTCTTCTGTTCCTTCGAAGTCGCTTGTGTCGTGGGGGCGCTCCCTGTCCTAGGCTCCAGCGCGGGTCCTTCAAACCACAACATGCACGGAAGGCCGGTGGTAACACGCAGCGACCTGACCGCCCCAACCAGAGTTTGCCAGGATGCAACAGCTCGCAGGGACACAAGGTGACCGCCACAGTGAAAAGTCACCCAGCGCCAAGTTTAAGTGAGAACCAGGCTGTAAACACACAAATGACACTAAGTACTAAGCAATCTGTCGCAGTCACTTCAGACACCCTCCCCCCGCCCGAGGCACTGTCGTGAGCCTGGGCTAACACTAAGTGTTTTACCCGCGCCCATGGGAGCCCAGGATGCCCACCTGGCTGGACAGTGTGACTGTGGCCACCAGAATATCCACTGACACCCGAGATTGCCCTGGGTGGGGTATCTTCAGGTCCTCGCTTCCCTTGGTGCCCTCCGTGTTGAGATAGTGGCTGTGACCTGTCTCTGTCTCTGCTTTGAACAAATGGGCCTACTGCACGTGTTTTGCATGAAGCGTTGTTCTTGAGGTTCCTTCCCACCTGTGCAAATTCCTGTTCTCATTTCCCACAGCCCCTTCTCTCCCTAAATGGCTTTGTGGCAAATACACCATAATAAAATGGTCATGAGCAATAATGCATTCTGTTTAAAAAATTTCACAGTCGTGAGGATGTTTCAATAACACAACTTACAAACTCATGTTGAAAATCTAGAAATTTAGCTGTAGCCTGTGACTTGAGAAAAAGGAATACCACGAGTTTGGGGTTTTCCAGATCGAACTGAACTCTGAGTGCTGACTTGGAGGGTTTCTCTCTCCACTTGCCTGGGAATATGACACAGCTGAGACCCATGTGCCCTTGGGGGTTCTTTGGTTTCATGAAATTGCTCTCTGGAGTCACAGGGCCAGTGATCAGGAACGAGATTTGATATTTATTCAGTTTCCTAAAAGTTCAGAGGTTTTTGTAATAACATTGTCTTATTAGTGATTCTTCTAGAGAACAATCTTTCACATTTGTATGAAAAAATGTCATTTACATATATTTTTCATTCATTTATATATGTGTGTGTAAAATCTTATGTGTCTAAAAATCTTATATTAAAATCTTTCCAATGATGTTTCTTACTGTGTACCATAGTAAAACATCATTAACACATTAAATTTTTTTTTATAATTAACACATTTTTGATGTTTCCTCTAATGTAAAAAATCACATTTCTTCTTACATTTTTATTTTGAGGGGGTCTATTTCATCATAGGTTACTGACACTTTTGAGTTATATACTTGGTATTTTTTTTTAAATATTTTATTTATTTATTTTTAGAGATGGAAGTGAGGGAGATAGAGAGAGAGAGAGAGAGAAACATCAATGTGTGGTTGCTGAGGGTTATGGCCTGCAACCCAGGAATGTACCCTGGCTGGGAATCGAACCTGGGACACTTTGGTTCCCAGCCCGCGCTCAATCCACTGAGCTACGCCAGCCAGGGGATATACTTGGTATTTTTAAAGAAGCTGTTAAAGAAGCATCATTTTTTGTGAATATCATGAATATGAAAATTATAACAACCTTCATATCCACATATCTTGGATACATAAAATATCCCAAACCATGTGGATGTAGTTTCTTTTCTAACTTGTGACCTATACAATACTACTGAAGAGTAAGACAATAAAAATGAACTTCCATTGTAAAAGCGTATGCAGTTTATTCAAGAAATAAATCAAGAAATAAAAAATGGAGCAAATTTAAAGCATATGCATTTCAAAAATCCTGAGTCCAGTGGTAGGGAATGCACTGATTACATTTCTAGGAGAGATTCCTGTGGGTCTGGGTGCTGAGTTGGAGTTAAAACAATGTGCTGCTTCTAGGGGGAGCCTTTGTGCCCCTGAAGTAAGCTTATTTCTTGGTTTTTAATTTCCTATCTGATTAATGTTCCATCTCTATAGTCTCAATTGAGAGCACATAGTACCCTCTTCCAGGAACTCTTTCTTATTAGCTTCCATCTAACCTCTTTTTTTATGAGACTGTTAATTTTTTAAACCTCGTTGTACAACTTGTCACTATAGCCCCAAGCCTTAGACATACATACAATTTTTTGTTACTGTTTATTATTTTCAATGAATAAATAAGTGGAAATAAAAATGCTCCTTTTTCATACTATTTCATACACTCCAGGCGAAAGCACCTGTGGATCAGTGGTACCTGAACTGCTCCTTCAGGGCAGTTAAATAGCTGGGGAACTTTTGACTGCATACCTGTTTAAGTGTTTTTGAAACTATGGAAGCCCATTTGAAAATGTTTTGCCACAAATGTATTCCACAAATATATAATTAATGCCAGATTGTACCTGAGTATTCATTAACTTTCTGAAGTTGTTTCCTCTGAAATAGAACAATGGCTACTTTACAAAGCAGTTGTGACCATTGAATTAAGTAATATCTATGAAAGATCTATAATGATTATCCCTTTACTGGCTTATGAAAGTTCTATATTAATTTCTCTGTGTTTGAAATTAGCTAAAATCCTGAGATGGACATAACACATTGTGGGACATAGTTGAAAATGTGTTCACTCAGGGTTTTTGAAATTCTCATTAAAATATTTCATGGACAGCCCTGGCCAGGTGGCTCAGTTCGTTGGCACATCCGTCCTGTACCCCAGAAAGGTGTGTTTGCTTCCCAGTCAGGGCATATACCTGGGTTGGGGGTTCAATCTCCTGTCAGGAGGCAACTGATCCATATTTTTCTTCCGCATCCATGTTTGTCTCTGTCTCTCTGTCCCCCTCTTACCCTCTGTCTCTAAAATCAATAAACATAACCTCTGATAAGGATTAAAAATATATGTATATAAAATAGACATATATAAAGTTATACACACATTTCATGGGCAGTCTTGCTGTGTTACATGGAGTCATACCACCTTTCTTTCCAGACCACCACTTCGTGTGTGTGTAACAAATTGGTCATATGTAGTGTCTTTTTGCATGTTTGTGGATTTGGATGCAGTCACATTTGTTTGCATGTTTGTGGATCTGGATGCAGTCACATTTGTTTGTGGATTTGGATCCAGTAGCCCAAATACTTGAGAGCACATGTACTGACAGCTGTAGTTCCAGAGAACAGCTGACCTGCACTGCAGAACCTGAGAGACAGGATGTTTCCCTAGTTACTCTTTCATGTTCAGGACCTCATGCCATCTGAACATCCTTGAGCAAATGAACTGCAACTAATCCTAAACAAATAAAGCTACCTTGGGATCTGTCCCTTCTTCCAGAGCTCACACTGGGCTCCTTTAAAATGCACAAGGGGGAAAGCCCTGTTAGCCCTTACAAGGGATCTCCTCTCCTAATTTTGTCTTGCCCAACTCCTAGCAGCATCCCTGGATCGGATTTTGTTCTGCCTGTACACATCACTTTGTTCACCACTGGTGACACTATTAGAACAGGATTTAATGTTTGGAGGGGAGATCTGTTCCTCCTGAGGGTTACATTTGCTTGTATATTTCCCTGAAAGTGGAGTTAGTGTGGTTCAATTAGATGCTTCCGTCATGGCTGTGTAAGTCAAATCCTGTAACTCAAATAACCACCTTTGTAAGCAAACCTGAAGCACATGACTGGCAGAGTGGGAAGAGGATGTGCCACTCTGCCTTGTGCACACCTCATCAGTACCCAGGCCCATCTCCAGGGGTGGAGAAAACCAGTGATGCTGGGGTGTCAGTGCAGTTCACTACAGGGATAACCGAAGCCCAGCAGGGGCCCAGCATTGCTTCTGTTGTTCCCTCCTGCTCCTATAGGGGAATTACACACTGTGTTCTCAGCCATTACCTCCCCTCTCCCTTCACTGCACTCCCACTGATGAGAAAATAAAAAGCCACCACAAGGAGATATCCTACCTCTCCATACCTGTCTACCATCATACCTGCATCTTTATTGAAAGAGCACTTAGTGGAGAGAGACCCCACAGTTCCCTGCAGCTGCTGCCCAAGAGCCCCTGGTATTGTCCAGCTAGGACATGGTCCTCAGTGGTCCTTCCACAGTCCTCTCCAGGGATCAGTTGTCAGTGCTCCTGACTCCCTGACAGCAGTTCTTGAGGCATTTATCTTTTCTTACTCTTCCCTTGGGCTTCTAGGACCTCTCACCTTCTCTGAGTTTAGGGCCAGCTGCCCCTTGTTTCCCCCAGTCAACACTTGGACACCTTAGCATGCCCTGCTTCAACCTGACTTCCCAACGCTGGTATGGCTGCTAATGTGCAAGCCTCCTACAGGTCCTACCCAAGTGATGTGCCTTTGGGCATACGTGTTGGCCATTTATATGCTCATGTGCTTAGAAGAATATTTAGGAAATAATGTTGAGTTTTAGAAATCAAGGGTTAACCTTGATAGTTGTTAAGCAGTAAGAAATTTTAAAGATTGGGCAAAAAGTGACAACTGATGGCCCTTTGCCTAGTGACCTAGGACAGCTCTTGTAGTCTGATTCATGCAAACATGTCCTGGTGCTCTAACCAGTGAACTATGGGGTGGCCATAGCACTATACTCTTTGAGCACTTGGATGCAGATGACCCAGCAGCCTGGGAGGCCTGGGCTCCCTTTCAAGGGCCCTCATCGGAGGAAAGGGAGAAATGTACCCACAACTCCAATTTCTACAGTTTAACTTGGCAGTGACTACTGCTCCTCAGGAAAACAGCCTCACACTACACAACAGAAACTCTAGTGAAGGCAGATAAACAGAAAGGGATTGCTGAACACAAGGGAAGAGGGCACCAGTGAGACCAGACTTTGTCCTACTTAACAATTATCTGCATGGAAGAGCCTCACTTCTGGTCCTCCCTTGTCTCTGCCACATCCTGCTGACTCTCCTGCCTACTCTTTGAGGCATGGATCCCCTCCCTGAAGACCTGAGTGACTGGGCAGGAGTAACCTGGACATTTTGGTGGCACAACAAATAGATTGCTAGGACTGACATTGCACTTACAGGCTCCAGATACCTGTGAGGTGAGCTGTTGGTCACACATGCTCCCATGGAGGGAGGGTCCAGCTTGCAAAACTGGGTTTTATAGGAGCTGCTTTTTTATGTAATCAAGAAAGTAGTGATGTCCTCAGATGGCTGATAAACCAGTACATGAAGCCCATTACCATTCACTAATTTAAATAACTTGCTAACTGTTGTCAGTAAGTACACAAAGGTGTTTTTTCATGACTGCCATGAATTTGAGAATGTGACTGCACTTTCAGGTAGGCTCTTGCCTAATCCACTGAAAAAGAGCTGTAGGGTCCCCCTTAAGTTTCCATTCATTATCTTAGGAAACAAGTGTCAGAAATATGAGTGAAAACTAGTTAGAGGAACTGTCAGCATTCCTGAATTCAGTCATAACTTGAATGTTTTTATTGAACTTGTCAAATATGAGTGAGAATACCAAGCTCTTGTGTACCATATGCTGGTACCATCTCAGACTAGAGCATGATGCTGTGTGTTCAGTTTTTACTGTGAGTTTAAAAAATGCTGATAGTGTATTTCAAGGTTTCACTATGTAAGTATCCATCCTTCAGAATTTGCCACCAAATAAGTGGACTGAATTGTTTAAAAAATTGCTGAGCTATGATTGTTCAAACTTTCCCAAGAAGAATTGAAGCTGTCTCTAGACAAGACTTTATAAACAGAGAAATGAGATAGGACATGACAGGTCGGCAGTTTGCAGCCCCCAGGATTAGTCCATGAGATGATATGAAGTGTTCTCACTGTTCTTTCATTTCTGTGGGCTTTGTGTCCTGACTTCTTTATTTTCTTTCCATTTCAACATCTGCTGGCTTTTAAATGGAATAATTTCTATGGTCTTCCCAGGGTGTGAGAGCTGCTTTTGAACACACCCAGCTCTTATTCCCAACAGCTGCCTGGGTTAGATCTGGGATTGGGCTCTGGTGCTGTGAACTTAGTAACCAATGTTTTGGGCTTTAAAATGTGAATTGTAATTTATGTTATTGGTCTTTGTGCCATGCCCCCCCCCCCCCCCCATTTTTCTTTAAAACAGGCTGCAGATACTTTGGCTGTGAGGCAAAAAAGAAGAATTTATGATATCACCAATGTCTTGGAAGGAATTGACCTGATTGAAAAGAAGTCAAAAAATAGCATCCAGTGGAAGTAAGTTATAAATCAGTGTTCTGTTCTGAAACCCTGCTTTATCTTCCCAGTGCTCTGTAAAATCCGGCGTTCCCCTGTTTGTGTCTCCTAAGTTCTCTCGCCACACACTAGGTCCCACTTTTCCAGGGACCTGCCTCTCAGGGCTTCTGTGCACGTCCCCATATGTTGTTGCTGCTCAGTTAGGCCATTCCCTTGCTCTCTGCTGTTTAGTTTATACTCTCCAAATTCAAATTGTAGCCCTCATTTGGCACACCCTGCACACTGCTTTGTGTTCTTAATCCCTCTCCCCCTAAGTGTTTGTTGGCCAGTTAAGTAATATAAATGCCTTGCAAGCAGGAACTGCATCTTAATATGTAGAAATATGGACCTTATAAATAATAATTGATTGAAACACATTTTGTCCTGTTAATTTTGGTGTGGTTTTACAGTACTTTTGAATGTGACAAATACTTTCTGTTTTGCAAATTTGTTTCCTTTGACCTTAGTTTTTTTTTTTGTTTGTTTGTTTTTTCATTAGTCAAAATCTCACTCTAATATTTAAATATCATAATTGATTTTACTTGTATCTCAGTGTACCTATGAGATGTCCCAGTGTGACTGTTTGGCCATGACATCTTTTTGGTGCATCTGTCACCAGCCCGACCTTCCTGGTGACAAAAAGCACTCTAAAATATTGAGAATTTTTGTAGTTTTGTTGTTCTTGCCAAAAAATACTCTAAGCAAACACATTCAGAGGTATGGTATTTAAATTTTTTAATCCTTAATTTTTAGAAGAGTGTAAAGGTTTTTGTCTTGAATACATTGCTAATTAAGTCAATCTTATTACTATAAAAAGCAACTGATGTTAACCTGGGTATAATAGGGGGATGTTGATTCTCACCTCTTTTTAAGAGGTGTAGGTGCTGGCTGCAACACTAAAGAGGTCCTGGAGAGACTGCGAGATCTCAAAGCTGAGATTGAGGACCTGGAACTGAAGGAAAGAGAACTGGATCAGCAGAAGGCATGGCTTCAGCAAAGCATCAAAAATGTGATGGATGATTCCATTAACAATAGATATCCTTTTCCATAAGTTACACGTGCACACACCGCCAGAGACGATATGTTACCTGACATTGTTCCAGGTCGAAGATTGGGTACTTTGTTGTACTTTTTTTAGAGATGTAGTTTAGGAAATAAATATAACATTTTAGTTTTATGTTTCTAATAATTTAAAGATTTTATCTTTTTCTGTTATATAGTCTTATCTAGTAACATCATCCTTGTATTGTATTGAGAAAAAACATTCCATCTACTTTTGGTCTACCCATTGATAGGATGTGATACACACGCCAGTATGCTCAGGGCGACTGTGAACTTTAGATGTCATTGTGAAGTACATAGGTTATCATTAAATCATTATGTTCCATGCTCTGAAGTGGCAGTCAGCAACTCTCAAAGTTTTGAAAAATTAATGTTGGTTGGAAGATGAAATATCATGGCCTTGAAATCAACCCAGGATACTTTCAGCCTGATACTAACTCTACGATGGTAGTGTTCCAAGGCTATGGTTATCTTGTCATCTTTGGAAAGATGGGTGATACACTCCATGTTTCTTACAATTGCTGTTCTCTTGGATATCTGTGAAGCTCATGATTCATGAGCATACCTGTGCTCTGTGGAACACCTAACTGCATCCATCTTGTACCTTCATGAGCTCCTGATTAAGGTATACAGTTATGTTTTATGTTATCTTGTCCTGGGTGCACAAGTCCATGATCTCATTTGTTATTTTCTTTCTGTGGGTAAGAGCTCCTTAAGTTTTATAACAGTGGGTTTTCAGGATGGGTGCTGTGTATCCCCAAGGTTCAAAACCCATTGAATTAGCTGATCTTGGACCTTGCTGCACTGCTTTGCAAGGTTCTGATCATTCCCAGTTCCCCAAATCACAGCCTAAGAAGGTTTTGGATGTGGAGATTTCTGTGGTTGTAGCTTCCTTTTCCCCATCAGTACCTTTCCCCCAGAAGCCTGTCTCTTTGATGAATAGGTTTTCCATCTATCTCCCAAGGATCATCAGATATCACAGAACTCTAAAGTGGCTTCTTCTCAGAGCCCAGGATGAATCTTCCTTTTGGGGACTTTTGTTTGTCTTTGGTTTTTCAGACTGAAGACTTCTGTTCTTTTTAGTCTAACCATGGCTGACAGCCCCACAAGCATTTGTCATTTTGTTTATTTTGGCCTTTGATTTATTATCTTAATGGAAATGCCTAGACTTTGATACAAATATTGTTCCTTAACTCTTATGACAGTACATTTTCCTACGTAACTCATGAGGATATCTGCAGTTGCTTTAACGGTAACTACGTTCTTCTCTGCTCAGCCCATTCACTGCAGTGACTCCGAATCCTTTGCATTCCCCAGTCATTATTGTCAGGAGTGGACATCTCATCTCACTCTTCACTGTGCCGTATTCGTAGGCCACTCATATTTCTGTTTCCATGACAGTAACTGCTTTTTACAGGTCACATCACTGTCTGCATTGGTGGCCATAAACTGGGTGGGAGGGGCAGCCAAGTCAGAGAAGAATGAAGCAACAATAGTCTCAAGTCACAGTTTCACAGTCAGTGGTAGAACTTGAATATGAACACTGTGCTCATCAGCTCTGTTTATGAAACTGCAGCGAGTGTGCTGGTTACAAATGGAACACAGCATGAGGACAGTTAGGGAATCGGTTTATAACCAGGAAAACCATTCCTTACCCCATCCACTCCACCTTGTGATCTCCCCTGAAATGACAACATAGTGGATTAATAGTTGAAAGGGTGGGGCTGTTCGCCAGTAATTGTATCTAACACAAATAAATGAAATTGTGCATGCACATTTTATTTAATCGTGCCTGTCAAGAGCACAGCCTGTCACTGACTTTCCAGGCAGATTTATGGCTATTGCTCCACTTGGCCACCATGGGGGAAGTCTTCTTAGTCTTCCTCAGAGACAGCTATAGAATTTGGCTTCACAAGTAAGTTCAATTAAGTTCAAGATTTCAGTGTGTCACACTTTATCTATGATGTCCCCAGTCATTTAAGTAGTTTAAATCAAGTAAACAATGTGATTTACTTGAGGTTAAAAGGTTTCCAGAGTCCCAAACTTAACATGAGACTGAGTGAAAGCAAAATTAACTTGAAGTGAACTTATTAATAATAATAGATCTAACTGTGTGTTTACCCTGTTCTGAGATCTACTACATCTATGACCTCATCATCCTCAGAACAACCTACACAGTAAGTCATATGCCCTGTAGGAACCCATGCCTGAGCCTGGGATGTAAACCCAAGTGTTCTGACTCCAAGATCTACCTTGTTGCCACTCTATTCCTGGATCGATGGTATTTCCTACAATGTGAAAATCTATTTCTTTTTTTTGACAGGTGACACACTTTTGGCCATTCAGGCACCTTCTGGTACACAACTGGAGGTTCCTATTCCAGAAATGGTACATGGGGGACTTGTTACAATGAACCTGCTGTCTCAAGAGATACAAATGTGTTTTCTTTCACTGAACATGAGCTAAGTGTGTGTGAACACCATCAGGTTTCTGTTTAGGGTATTGATATTAAATTTGGGTTGTCTTCATTACTTTAGTGAAATTGTAGATGTGACTGAATGAATTATATAACATTTTATTTTTAACTTGATTTTATTTGGCTACAGGAATGAGTCAAGAAATAATAAATAATCTTAAAACAAAAAATTCATTTCACTATATCTGTAACTGATGTACCAATCCTGACTGAAGAAGTTCAATTTAAATAACAATAATATATTGCTTTAAATCAGGCCTTTTTAAAAACTTTTTTTGGCTTATTGAGTCAAATAATATTGACTATGTGTAATATATATTTCATGATTTTAGTTTTGGATTCAGAGTTTCTAAAACTGATTTGAAAGCTGTACCAACCAAAGAAGGGAGTGGAAAAAGATAGTAACTCTCATTTACCTCCTTGCCTCAGCTACTCTAGAGGTTTGTTTTTAAGCATTTATATGACTAGATTCTGAAGCCTTAGGATGCAGATAATCTTTTAAAATACAGGGATGGTACACTCAACATGTCTGTAGGAAAACCAGTGTTTTTTATGCTTGCTGATTATAAAACAGAGTTTGACTTGTGAAATGGTTGCCATTTAATAAAGCGTGTTGAGATGATCACATCCACAGCAGCCTACAACCGCCGGGGTGGTATTCACATATAAGGAGAATGTGAGGAGTGATTACATTAAAAATGGAAGATTGCCATAATTCTACAACTGAGAGCTTTTGATGCTATTTTTGAAAAAAAGCGTGCTTTCAGATAGGTGGCTTAGAGCCTTAATATCGTGTCCTACTCTTGGTCTCCACTCTTGTGTCTTGATTTACTGCCTCTCTTTTGTTGTGCAAATTTACTTAGTCCTTAGTAACTTGATCTCATTTTTAATGTTAATATTTATTCATTTGGTTATACTTAACTTCAAGGGTCAGAATGGACAGAAGAAATACCAGATCAACCTAAAGAGTCATTCAGGCCCCATCCACGTGCTGCTTATAAATAAAGAGTCCAGTTCATCTCAACCTGTGGTTTTCCCAGTTCCCCCACCGGATGACCTCACACAGCCCTCCTCTCGGCCCTCCACTCCCCGGACTTCGCACAAGCCCAGCCCAGCCACTCGGAGCCCCCCTGAGCAGCCCACACCTGAAAAGGACCAGGGCTCCCAGCACATGCCAGCCACGGACTTAGCTTCAGGTGGGCCCAGAACCTTTATTTTAGAAAGTCATAGCTTGTTATGTGACTATTATCTGATAGAAGAGGAAAGTAGGAAGTTTAGTTTAATCAACATGTGTTAATTTAGTTAACACTATATGTGTTCAGCATGGGGACAGGTTTTATTAGGGAGATTTAAAAACCTGTCTTTTATATATATTTTTAAGATTTTATTTATTTTTAGAGAGAGGGGAACAGAGGGAGAGAAACATCGATGTGGGAGAGATGCATTGATTGGTTGCCTTTCACAAACCTTCAACTGGGGACCTGGCCCACCCAGGCATGTGCCAGGACTGGGAATAGAACCTGTAGCCTTTTGGGTCACAGGCCGTCACTCAAATCTACTGAGCCACACCAGCCAAGGCTATATTATTTATTATATGTTTGATTGTAATTATATGTATTATCATATTTTTTAATTACTACAGATTTAAGATACATATTTTTTATACACACACCATCTGATTGTGTATTCAGAAACACACAATGTGGTAGAATGTAACTGTAAATACTCAGCAAGAGAATGATGATTAATGGGTCTAAAGCTCAGTTTTCTTTAGGATTTCATTTTCAGAAGTAGCCAGCATCCCTGTTACTATTTACACATCTGCTTTTATCTGAGGTTTACTTTGTACAGTTCTCTCTCAGTACCTCGAGGACAAATTATTGACATGTGCTCTAACCATCTTGAAAAACAGTCAGGCTATAGAGTATACAGTGACATATGCCTCTTCTTCCTTCAGTCTGTATTGCTGTATCTGGAGAGCATACTTGCTCGGTGAATGACAATCAATGCCCGTCTAGTTGGAGTGCTTCAGATTATTCCAACCTGCACTGTCCAGTTTTATCTGTACCTTGGAACATGTCCTGGGTTGTAGCAGGAGTCTGCTGCCCTGGCTGTTCATGGTAGTGCAGTGTGAGGCTGTAAGGGTCTGACAGCACATGGGATGTCACTCAGCATAGTGTTCCCACACCATCCCTCCTATGCTCCCTGTAAGAATTTCTACCTTAGGCCATGGGGATGCACAAAAGCAAGTATGCTCCTTAAAAAGCCTGTCTTCTTAAGTATAATCCAAAGGGGGTGAAGAAAACAAGCAAGCTTTGTAAGGTTTAACTCAGACCCAGTTAGTACATCGGCTTCCACTAGCATTCAAAAAATTCTGAGTAGTTAGTTTCTGTATATGATTTTGTATTTGGAAATAGTAAGGAAAGTAATTTGGGGCTGGATTGAAGAGGGCATTATATGTGAGACTGAGTGAGGAGGTAGTGGATAGCTAGTGAGGGTCTGTGACCAGGGAAGTAGCTTGTGGAGGACTACACAGGGTGCTGAACGCCAGACAGACATGATGAGGGAGAAGGTACCTGAGAAGCACAGGGCAGAGAACCTTAAGGCCAAAGTAACATGGTGACGGTGTAGAAAGAGAAAGAACAGGTGAGAAATACTGTTTAGGCAAAATAAGTACTATCTGATGTGTGAGATCTGGAGATGAAACTAATAGGAGGAATGGAAAGTGACAACTGCTCAAGGTCAGGTGATAGAGAATTACAGTACCACTGACTGTAAAACCCAGGAGTCTGTTTTAGGAGGAGGATGAGGCTTTTGGTCTACGTCTTGAGTTTGTAAATTTAAAAGCAGAGTAGGTGTGAATGAAGATATCTTTCCATAAAGTTCTAGTACGTAACTTTGTGCTGTTAAGCTGCTGCTGATTAAATATAATTATGTTTAGTATATACTGTGTTGAAATACAACTAACTGCCTTTACTATTACAGAAATGTCACAGAACATTTATCACATTTCTCTTTCCAGCAGGATCTATTAGTGGAGATATTATTGATGAGTTGATGTCTTCTGATGGTAAGTAATTTTAACTTCCTTATCATTAATCATTCATCATTATCCTTATCATTATCATTCCTTATCATTAATGTTTTTCTGGACTTTATAATGGCACATAATTTATTGTTTACTTAATTTAGTATGACAAGTCATAAAAAATTCTCCTTTAATAACATTTTAGAGTAAATTACAGGTATCCTCTTGCATTTATTTGTCTTTGCCTCTGTTTCAAGGGAAGACTCCATAAGGGGACACTTACCCTGCACTGAGTAAACTGCTAAGTGGGTGGCACACTAGCCCTTTCACTCCTCAAGAATCTGGCCAACAGGTAACCAGTCTGAAAACCCAGCTTTATGACCTAGCTGGTATGACTTGGCTGGTGCATCATACTGTAGACAAAGGTCATGGGTTTTGATCCCTAGTTGGGGGTGCCTACAAGAAGGCAACCCCCATCATTGTTTCTCTGTCTTTCCCTTCCTCTCTAAAAACGATGAAAAAAATGGCCTCAGGTGAAGGGGGGAAAACAGTTTTGTAAGTCACCCCCACTACCATGGGATATGAAGTGACTACACTGTTCCTGACACAGGCCATGTTATCATCTAATCTAAAATCCTTCGTAAAAATCAACAGCTACAACACTGTAATTACTTCACTGATTACTCTTGGTTTCACCTTTCTGTAAGTTCTTGGATTTAGAGTCCTGGCCCCTAACAACTATAGTCGAGACCTGAGAAGGAGCAATTGTTACGTTAGCCGATTGAACTGTACCACTTGGACTCCTTCAGTATTTCTGAAGAGAAGACCAACACTTATTAACCTAAGCCTACTTTATTCTGTTTTCAAAGTAGTAGCTCATTTAGCAGATCAGAGAACATACTTGGACTTATGTTTTTTAATCGTTATTTTAGTGACAAGTCAACCAATGAAAATTGTAACCTATTTCTCAAGCTTATGCTTATAATCAATGCATAATTATCTTTAAACAATCTTCCCAAATACACATTAAACACAAATAATTTGTAATTGCTTTTCCCAGTGTATATTTTAAATTCTTGTATAATACAGAAACCATAATTTAATGGACGGCTTTGTGTTTTGTGTTTGGAGAAGCTGTCATTAACCCTGAACTTATGCTATTTGCAGTGTTCCCTCTCCTCCGGCTCTCTCCAACCCCAGCGGATGACTACAACTTTAATTTAGATGATAATGAAGGAGTGTGCGACCTGTTCGATGTGCAGATACTAAATTATTAGATTCCATGGAAACTCGGGACTGTTATCTACCTCTAACTGTGTAATATTGTAGACTTCCTAATAACCTAAGTATTTATAATGAAGATAACACCTGTTTAGTTGGCTGATTTTTAAGTCTCCTTCTCTAATACTTTCTTCATAAAACTTCAACCATGAACACAAAGGGCTCTATTGCTTCAGGTGAAAGTGATTTAATACCCACACACACCCCATCCTCTAGTAATTGCATTCTGGGACTTCAGTTTTTCTTACAATTCTGACTCCTGTTTCTTACTTTAATGAGAGGAAGTTAAAATAGGCTTAAGGTCATCAAAAAATGAAAGTGTTGGCCAAGGACTCATCACTTACTTGTGTTATGCTTGTACTGCCACAAAACTTTCCATATTTCTGTGTTCCAATCCAGACAGACATTCACTGCCACATATAAAGTGAAGGGTGTAGACTAAAATATAGTCACTGTTTCCATGAACAGAGTTTGTGAAGTGCCTTCTATTTTAGCACTTTAAGTTTATCACGTTTGGTTGACTTCTGGTATTCTACTTTCCTAGATTATAGGAAAGATCTGTTTATGTAGTTTGTTTTTAAAATGTGCCAATGCCTATACATTAACAAGATTTTTTAAAATAAAAATGTATAAAATACTTAATTTATTGGTGTTTTGGGGGAATTTGATGCATCGCCAGTACATTACAACTGAGCCATTAATCTTGTAGCTTCTTCAACATTAACTGGTTCATTTTCATGACACTGCTGAGGAATCTGGAGGGAGGAAAGCGTTATACAATAGTTAGAAGTTTAGATAAGAATGGTGGACAAAATGACATATGATCTATTATCCAATTTAATTTCTTATAGTCATACCTTTGGAAATAGAACAGTAAGTTCTCATGTTCACACTCAATGGTTTATGAATATGCTATACAAACTGTATAGCCATGTATACCAGAGAACCAAGTACTGAAAATTACATGCAACTTATAGCTTAGGAAATTTGAGATTTAATTTATTAGTGTTCAGTTTAAAAAAGGAAATGATTTCTACCCACCAGCTGTTTCTGCAGAGGTTCGAGGGAAAGGCCTTTTGAGAAGTGAGCGAGCTCCTTCTGTATGTCAACAAAAGCTTTATTCATTCTGCTAACTTTTTCATCATTCATAATGTTCATCTTTTTTAAAAAGAAAAAACAACATTAATCCATGATCTCCTGACCATTAAACTTAAAATATATTCAATCTTAATTTAACCTTTTTAGCCTAAAATCTAAAAAAACTTAATCATACCAATTTGCAGGGAGGATTTGCACCAAAACTCTTAGTCTTATTGGGGAATTTTAGACAAAAGTTTCTATTTTTTAAAAGAATTATGTGGAATACCCCATACCTTGATTTCACTGGTATAAGCAGACCAAAGCATGGACTACACTTTTTCTAGATAGAGCTGTCATCTCTCACCTGTGAAATAAGGAGCCTAGATCCCATGCTTAGTGTCCTGCTAACAGTACCTCTCAGCCCCGCCTTGGCCTGATAGAAGTCCTTGGCAATCAAGCCAACCACCTTGGCAGCCCTCCTCTATTAAATGTGAACAGTGGAATAGTGGTCCTATTCTTCCTGCTGCTCCCAAGCCATTTCTCCTTCAAAACTCACCTCCTGTGTACCTTACACCCCCGGACCTATTACCCTCTCTTTCCCCAGTGTCACCTGCAAACTCCAGAATTACTTGTTCCTTCATGAAAGTTGTTGAACCTCAGCTCACTGATCTCTCAGGCCTGATGTCACTGCTTAGTGGCTTCAGCAGAAACCTAACCCTATGGCCTTGTCACCTCTCTGGGTGCTCATCTCCTATCCTTGTTCACCTAGTTTATTCACAATTCTTAAATCTCACTAAACCTCCAATTCCATTATTTTTCACTTCCCTACCCTCACCTCACTTTTTCCTTTAGCCAGCACAAACTCCATGACCATTACTTCACCAATCACTTAACTTTCCTTAACTTCTCTTCCTTAGTCATACTTGCTTGGCAACCTAGTCAACTCTCAGAATTTCCTGAGCCTACAACGGAAGCCATAGAAAATCTTAATTAGGTGAGTGGCTTCTCTTTAAATCCATGGCCACAAACTTCAACTTACCATTTACATGGTGCCTGGTAACCTTATGCACTCCCCTCATAAATTAGGCTCCTTTCTAAGAGACCACCATCAGGCTGCCTACCCACGGACTTCCCTCTCCACTGTTTCCCACCAGCATACATGAAGCTTCCAGCACTTTCACCTAATGAAATAATATTCAGGACCTTTGCTGTCCACTGCCTGGAAAATGCTGCTCCCAGCACCTCCCTGCTCTGCACCACTAGCTCCTTATATCCCGCAGGTCTTGGCTCCAGTGTCAACTCGGAAGACAACTGTCACTCCAAACCCCCATCATATTACCCAGGTTTACTTCCTTTATAGGATTTCCAGTCATAAAACTGCTTAGTCAGAAAGCTGAACCTAACTAGTTCATGAAAACTGAAAAATAAAATGTTACATTTCAGTGGGCCATTATGATAATTACCAAGACCCAATGAGCTGCCACCACATATTACTGAAACTTCAAAACATTTTCTTGAGTAATATACTATATCTTAATGAAGAAATTTCCCATTTCCCAAATACTTTCAGTAAAAACAAAGAAGATACGCTCCTTTTCAGATTTTGCATTTTAAGAAACAATATTTTATCTTCATTTGACAGGTTCTTGAATATGTGAGTTCAGAGATAAGAACTGGTTCTGATACCAGGTTTCTTTTTTTTTCTATATTCTAATAAAGTGCTCAAACTGTTATTTGCAGCCTCACAGATTCACAATTAATTTTTTTCTTTTTGTACATTTGGATTCAAGAAAGGGACATTATTCTTCTCCATTTTTTAAAACAAATGTTTAAAATACTCTTGCCCTCGTAGGAAAGGCTAACAACCTGTTTTAAATAAAAGCATTCAGTTTCTCAGTAGCTTGACCATTATGCTTTGCTTGTAAACATTCAAGTCAGGATGCTTAATACTCACCTTCTTAAGCTTAGTGGTAACTGGTTTTGCTTTACTCTTAACCTTAAAGTTTTTTTGGCTGGCTATGTGAAATACATTCCTGGACTTCTGCCCTTTTCGTTTGTTCTTAGCCATTGTCTAGAAAAGAAAAGGAGCTCAATTAAGCTGCCCACATTTATGACGAAATCAGAGTTTTTAGAGTAAAGAGACCAATTAAAATCTAAGAAATTCCACCAACAATGAACTAGGGTTGAAGACAAATACCATATGATCTCATCTTTAACAGGAACTTAATCAACAAAACAAACAAGCAAAATATAACCAAAGACACTGAATAGAGAAAATGCTGACAGTGACCAGAGGAGAGAGGGGAGGAAATTTCAGGGGAAAAGGGGAGGGGTTTGCAGGAACAAGTATAAAGGACACATGGAGAAAAACAAGAGGTGGGGGGTGGGTGGGAGGGAGGGAGAGCGGGGCGGGGGGGGGGTTGGGATGGGAGTAAAAGGCAGAAAACTACTTGAACAATAATTAAAAATTAAAAAAAATTCCATCTCACTGCTGATTATTTTTATTTTTTTTAAATAAATAAATACATTTTATTTATTTATTTTTAGAGAGAGGGGAAGGGAGGGAGAAAGATAAGGAGAGAGCATCAGTGTGTGGATGCCACTCGTGCGCCCCGAACTGGGGACCTAGCCCACAATCCAGGCACATGCCGACTGGGAATCAAACTGGCGACCCTTAAGTTTCCAGACCAGCATTCAATCCCCTGAGCCACACCAGTGAGGGCTACTCTGTTTTTTTTTTAAATTTGCTGTATATATGAAATTATTTCCATGTCTTTTCTGCTATTGGAGTGCAGAGTATGTATCTAAGTCTTTTCTGCATCTCCAGCACCTGGCCCATAGAAGACGTCACATTCATTTCTGCTGGTTGAATTATTAACATCAACACAATTGTTTTTTCCGCTCCCTGCAGCACATCCAACCAAGTGCACCATCACTATCCATCCTGCTAGTTCACATGCTACTGTATCACCCTGGTGCCCATCATACCCTAGGACTGATTCCTACTTTCTTTCCATTCTTGTCTACTTACCTGACATCCTCTCCTGTGTGCCCCTCCTCAAAATTAGTAATTAATCTTGCATTTCCTACCTCCCCTCCCTTAAATTACTTTCACCATTTTCAGGTCACCTCTCTGTGTAAAGCTCTTGCCTTGAAACTTCAGATATTCTTCACTTTATAGCCAAATGTGCACTTAGCCTGTAAATTCAACCTCAGACACAGCTCTCCAATCTAGCAATGAACATGAGGAATAATTTTTAAAATATTAATAGTTAAGGACTTCCAGCCCAGATGAAGGCATGGCTAAATACACTTCGCCGCCTCCCACAACCAAAAGGATAACAAATATAAAAACAAAAAACTACAATTGCCAGAAAATCAAACTATGTGGAAGTCTGACAAGGTGTTAAAGAAGAAACACTCATCCACACTGGTAGAAGGGGCACAGATGGGCGGACAGGGCAGACAGGATGCAGGGCAGGGCAACGGCTGGAGGACCACGTGGGCAAGGCAGCAGCTGGTCAACCCAGGGGTCCCATTTTCACATGCAGATAAACCAGGAGGAACAACTGGGGAGTAAGACAGCCCACAACCCAGGGTTCTGGTGGAGAAAAAGAAAGTCTCAGAACCTGTGGGAACTGTGGAGGCAGAAGAAACTCCCAGCCTCACAGGAGAGTTTATTGGGGAGACCCACAGGGTCCTAGAACATACACAAACCAATGCACTCCATATTCAGCACCAGAAGGGCCTGATTTGCTTGTGGGAAGCAGGAGAAGTGACTGAAAGGTGACCCAGAGCTAAGCAAGAGACATCGTTCCCTTTTGGACCCCTTCCCCACATACAGCACCACTCCTCGGTGGCGTGGGTTGCCCTGCCCTAGCATATACCTAAAGCTCCACCTCTTAGAACGTAACAGGCACCCCAAGACAAAAAAAAATGGCCCAAATGAAAGAACAGATCAAAGATCTAAAAACAGACCTAAGCAAGGAAGAGACAGCCAACCTACAAGATGCAGAGTTCAAAACACTGGTAATCAGGATGCTCACAGAAAAGGTTGAGTAAGGTCACAAAACAGAGGAGGAAGTGAAGGATATGCAAAGTGAAATAAAGAAAAATAGTGAACCAACAGTAACAGGAAGGAAACCAGGACTCAAATCAACAATTTGGAGCAGAAGGAAGAAATAAACATTCAGCCAGAACAGAATGAAGAAACAAGAATTCAAAAAAATGAGAAGGCCCTGGCTGGTATGGCTCAGTAGACTGAGTGTCAGCCTGCGAACCAAAGGGTCCCGAGTTTGATTCCCAGTCAGGGCACATACCTGGGTTGCGGACCAGGTCTCCAGTAAGGGGAGTGTGAGAAACAACCACACATTGGTGTTTCTTTCCTTCTCTTTCTCCCTCCCTTGTCTCAAAGTAGATAAAAACTTTTTTAAAAATGAGGAGAGGCTTAGGAACCTCTGGGACACCTTTAAATGTTCCAACATCCAAATCATAGGGGTGCCAGAAGGAGAAGAGGAAGAGCAAGAAATTGAAAACTTATTTGAAAAAAATATGAAGGAGAACTTCCCTAATCTGGCAAAGCAAATAGACTTCTGGAAAGTCCAGGAAGCTCAGAGAGCCCCAAAGTTGGATCCAAGGAAGCACACACTCAGGCACATCATAATTACATAACTCAAGATTAAAGATAAGGAGAGACCTTCCAGCCAAGATGGAGGCATAGGTAGACACTGTGCCTCCTCCCACAACCAAAATAAGGACAACAACAATGTAGAAACAAAATAACAAGCAAACTGACAAAATTGAACTGCATGGAAGTCTGACAACCAGGGAGTTAAAATAGGCACAGTCATCCAGACCAGTAGGAGGGGTGGAGTCGGGCTACCTAGCACAGAGGGGTTGAGGCAAAAAAGCAGTGGCACCAGGTGCACAAGGCAGCAGATGACAAACCCCAGGCATGCAAGAGAGCAGTGGGTAGACCCTGGGTGCCCAGGTGGCTGACAGGCCCCGGGCACAGGGTGGCAGCAGGCAGACCTAGTGAGGTGGCAAGTGTGAAACAAGGCATGGTGCACAAGGCAGCTGGCTAACTGGGTGGTCCCACATTCACACGCAGATAAACCAGGTGAAACTTGGGAGCAAGACAGACCGCACAACCCAGGGCTCCAGCGTGGGGAAATAAAGCCTCAAAACACGAATTGAAAACACCTGTGTTGGGGTTAAGGCGCAGGGAGAGACTCCCAGCCACCCAGGAGAGTTAGTTGGAGAGACCTACAGGGTCCTAGAACGTACACAAGCCCACCCACACAGGAATTTGCACCAGAAAGGTCCACTTTGCTTGGGGGAAGCTGCGGAAGGGACTAAAATCCCACAGAGTGGATCAAGCACCATTGTTCCCTCTTGGACCCCGACCCTACATACATCTTCAAAACCCAGTGACTTGGGTTGCCCCACCCTGGTGAACGAACACCTAAGGCTCTGCCCCTCATACATAACAGGTGTGACAAGACCAAAAAACAAACAAACAAAAAAAAAAAACATGGCCCAAATGGAAGAACAGATCAAAGCTCCAGAGCAAATGCAACTAAGCAATGAAGAAATAGCCAACCTACCAGGCGTACAGTTCAAAGCACTGGTGATCAGGATGCTCACAGAACTGGCTGAATTTGGTCACAAATTAGATGAAAAAATGCAGGCGACGATAAGTGAAAAAAAGGAAAATGCACAGGAACCAATAGTGATGGGAAGAAAACGGGGACTCAAAACAATGGAATGGACCAGAAGGAAGAATAAAACATACAATCAGAAAAGAATGAAGAAACAAGAAATCAAGAAAATGAGGAGAGGCTTAGGAACCTCCAGGGCATCTTAAAACATTCCAACATCTGAATTATAGGGGTACCAGAAGGGGAAGAGGAAGAGCAACAAGTAGAAAACTTATTTGAACAAATAATAAAGGAGAACTTCCCCAATCTGGCAAAGGAAATAGACTTCCAGGAAGTCCAGGAAGCTCAGAGAGTCCCAAAGAAGTTAGATCCAAGAAGGAACACACCAAAGCACATCATAATTACATTAGCCAGATTAAAATGAAAGAGAGAATCCTAGAAGCAGCAAGAGAAAAGGAGACAATTACCTACAAAGGAGTTCCCATCAGACTGTCAGCTGATTTCTCAAAAGAGACCTTGCAGGCAAGAAGGGGCTGGAAAGAAGTATTCCAAGTCATGAAAAGCAAGGACTTACATCTCAGATTGCTCTATCCAGCAAAGCTTTCATTTAGAATGGAAGGGCAGATAAAATGTTTCTCAGATAAGGTCAAGTTAAAGGATTTCATAATCACTAAGCCCTTATTTCATGAAATGTTAAAGGGACTTATCTAAGAAAAAGAAAATAAAAAACATGTACAGTAAAATGACAGCAAACTCACAATTATTAACAACCACACCTAAAACAACAACAAAAAGAAACTAAGCAAACAACTAGAACAGGAACAGGAACAGAACCACAGAAATGGAGATCACATGGAGGGTTAGCAACAGGGGAGTGGGGGGAGGAGAGAGGGAGGAAAGGTACGGAGAATAAGTAGCATAGACGGTAGGTAGAAAAAAGACGGGGGGGTGGCAAGAATAGTATGGGAAATGTAGAAGATGAACCTATGACACATGGACATGAACTAAAGGGGGGGGATGTGGGTGGGAGAGTGTGTGGAGGGGAATGAAGGGGGGAAAATGGGACAACTATAATAGCACAATCAATAAAATATATTTAGAAAAATAAGATAAGGAGAGAACCTTAAAAGCACCAGAGAAAAGGAGACAGTTACCTACAAAGGAGTTCCCAGAAGACTATCAGCTGATTTCTCAAAAGAGACCTTGCAGGCAAGAAGGGGCTGGACAGATGTATTCAAAGTCATGAAAAGCAAGGGCCTACATCCAAGATTACTCTATCCAGCAAAGCTATCATTTAGAATAGAAGGGCAGATAAAGTGCTTCCCAGATAAGGTCGGGTTAAAGGAATTTATCATCACTAAGCCCTTATTATATGAAATACTAAAGGGACTTATCTATGAAAAAAAAAGATGATCACAAATAATAAAAGTGATGTGACAACAAACTCCCAACTATCAACAATAACAACAAAAACAAAAACTATGCAAACAAGTAGAACAGGAAGAGAATCACAGAAATGGAGAACACATGGCGGGTTATTAGTGGGGAGGGGGCATGGGAGCATGGGGCAACAGTACAAGGAATAGGAAGCATAAATTGTATATACAAAGTAGACAAGTGGAGGTTAAAAATAATGTAGGATATGGAGAAGTCAAAGAACTTATATGCACAACACATGGCTATGAACTAAGGATGGGGAATGATGGTGGGTGCTGGGTGGAGGGGAATAAAAGAAAAAATGTGACAACTATAACAGCATAATCAAAATATATTTAAAAATATTAATAGTTAAGATTTACTGAGCTTTTACTAGGTGTACCATGCTTATGTTTTATGTGTTTTGACTAATTTACTCCTCATAAAACTTTCTTGAGGGTACTGTTTATTCCCATTCTACAAATTAACAAAAAAGAAAAACTGATGTGAAGGGAAGTTAATGTGCCCATTATCACACCGGGAATAATCGGGTAATGTCAAGTTTCAAAGGTAGACCCAGTGGCCTCTCCTGTACAGGGAGGGGCATAAGTAGGTTTACAGTTGTAAGTATGTGAGACAATTTATTCTTGTATTATTTATTAATTATTGTATTATTTTCTCCACAGACAACTAAACCTGCCTTTGGTCAACCCTATATAAGTAAAAATGCAATACAAAAATATGACATAATATTTACTGGGTTACTGCTATAGTCCCTAGGTATATTTGGTTAGAATTGGCTGGGCAAGCTATACCTATAGTCCAAAGCAGGTCAGGTACCCGTCTTTGTAAAATATTATTAGAATACATCTATGACCAATCGATTATGTCTACGGATGCTTTCCTGCTACAACTGTGACCCACAAAGCCTAAAGTATTTACTATCTGGACCTTTACAGAAAGATTGCTCACCTCTGACATGAGCCACATGCATTAAAGTCTGTCCAGCATAATCTATGGAATGAACCTTCCAATGTTAAAAACCTGTGACAGCTCCTCCAGGGCACAAGAAGCAATATGCTCTGTCTTTACTGCTGGAACCACGGATCCACAATACATCTGTCACACTACCCTGCTACCTCTCCATTTGCACCCACCTGCTCTGCATATTGTTCTTTGAAGATACTTGAACATTCTTATTTTCTTCCCTTTGCTCACACTGTATCTCTTGACTAAAGTTTACATCCTCCACGTCTGACCTCAGACAACTACGTAACAGCAACGCTTTTGACCCCAACAGTACTTAAAAATAACGAACACGATAAAAATACATTAATATAGAAGAAACAGAACATACACATAATAAATTAAATTAAATGATCTACAATCCTCCCAATATTAACCAAAATCCAACCACTCATCTAGTACTCATTAATCAATTACTATTATTTACCAGGTATGGCACACACATGACAGGATCTATCAAAGGCAGGTTCGTGGAGAAGGTCATATTCTATCCAGGGGGGACGGGGAATATCCCTGCCAACCACATGGAAACCATTATACAACAGACACAACCAAAAACTGATCCCTGGCCCAGGGCTGAGGCCCACAGGCCGGGCCGCCCCTGAAGAGAACAGCCTGAAGGAGCGCGGCGGATCCCGACCTCGGGCTGCAGCGATGCGAGTCCAGCCAGCCCCTCCCCGGCCCTGAAACTACCCACCTGCCTCTCACCAGACTGACGGCAGAGACTCTAACAGTCGCCCCAGCACTCCGTTACGCGCCGGATTCAGGAAGTTTAAGGAGAGGCAGCCAATTAAGCTTCCTCTCTTAGTTTGTGGTTCCACCCTGAAGTGCCCCGCCCACAAAGCGAAGTCCTACCAGTCCCTAGGAGACAATCCCGGCCCAACTTGTAAATGAAACCCCGCCCTTTAATAAAACGGACCTGTTTCCGCCCTTCTGCGCCTTCCGCTCCCTGACGTAAGCTCTCGTCCGGTCGTGGGCGCGCTACCCCCGGCGGTGGGCGCACAGGAGGAGCCAAGGTGTTTTTCTTCCGGGTTGTTTCCCTGCTTCAGAGTTCTGTGTGCAACAGGGGAGGAGTGTAGGGCGTTTTGAAGATGTTGTCAAACGAGTATCAGGGAGCTTCAAAAACGCCCAGGAAATGATAGGCCACTCAAGAATTGGAAAATTTTAGTTTAAGGTAAGTAGTTAATAAGTCTAGGAGGTAATGCATATGTTAAAGCTATTGTTTCAGGAACTGCAGATAAGGCCCACCACTCCCAGGAGAGACAGCCGACTTCCTGGGGTACTGTTAGAGATTACCGTCTGGGAAACAGGTGGAGGCATCCAGGCCATGGAGTTCCAGGAAGAGACAGACAACCACATGCCCCATGGGTACAGCTAACTGCCCGGCACGAGAATGCTGCAGTTTCTTTCACCTAAATTTTCCCTGCATTTCAAGAACACTCACCACACCTTCTTTATTCCCTGTTATAAAAACACTGGCTTGGAAAGAAAAGGTAAGACAATTTGTTAGGGTGCAAACCCTCCATCTCAGATTGCTGGCCATCTGAATAAAGCGCCCTTAAAAATTCAATCCCTGCCTCAGCTTATTGGATTCTGTGCATGACAGGCAGCCTGAATTCCGATGATGTCTGCCTTCTGGCTGTGTGTGTGCAGACTTCCCAGTTAAGACCTCTGGGTTGACTTTTCTAGGAAAGTGATACCATGCTTCCAAGAGCATCTCTGCATTAAAGTGTCACGTGTTTTGCTAATTCCCTTGTTACTGTCATAGAAAAGCCAGGTTTCAAACAAAGGTACAGGTACTGATTTCATTTTGAATAGAAAACAGTTAGCTGTTTGTAGTGAAGGAAAATGACTCCCTTCCACAGGACACAGGTCTCAGGTGTTAGCTGTTCACTCTGTATTTTGTTTCTTTTTTTTTTTTTTTTACTATTTTACAGTTCCAATTATTTTCCCCTCAGTCCCCTTCTGCCCAGCCCACCCCACAACTTCCAAAAGTCAATCCCCACCCCATTGTCCATGTCCATGAGTCTTTCATGTACGTTCATTGACTAATAATCCCTTCACCTTCTTTCAAATAGCCCCCCACCCTCCCTCCTCCCCTCCTACCTCCAGCAGTCTATTCTGTGATTCTATGCCTCTGGTTCTATTTTGCTCATTAGTTTATTTTATTCAGTAGGTCCCCCTTATAGGTGAGATCATATGGTATTTGTCTTTCACTGACTGGCTTGTTTCACCTAACATGATAGTCTTTTGTTCCATCCATGCTGTCACAAAAAGTAGGAATTCCTTCTTTCTGCTGCATAGTACTCCATTATGTAAATGTACCACAGTTTTTTAATCCACTCAAAAGACCTTATGCACCCCTATGTTCATAGCAGTGTTATTTGCAATAGCCAAGAATTGGAATCACTCTGCATTTTCTATAATTCAAACATCACATGACCTGTATGTCTGTCTGCAATCACGCATGCAGTCTGTCGGGTTTTTTACTATGCCATGTTTGTATCCCACCCAGGGTTCTGTAATTCCAGTGCATAGAGTTGTGACATAACATTTCCTCAATGACAGAAAATCCTCTGATGTGTAAGAAACAGGGACTGTAGCCAGTCCATGGAAAATGACTCTAAAATACCTAGAGGAATACTTCTTTTTATCTCTGTTCCTTCAAGTGATTGGTGCTCCACAAATATGTTTCCAATTTAAAGAAGCAGGTTTTATCCAGAGTAATCTCCTGGCCTAATACCTAGAAATCCAGAATCTGAACTAATGACAGTCACCAAGGACGTATGCAATAGCTGAAGGTTGGAAACAATCAAATACATATCACAAAGGCCATAAAAATATTTAAAGGGTACATAAAGTCCTTTCACATTTTTTATGATGCTTGGTTAAAATGAAAGTAATGTGAAAAAAGGACAGGAATTGTGAAGCAGCAGGTACGTGTTTAAAACCCAGAAAATGGGCAAGGGCAGAGAAGGATGTGTGTTATTAAATTAAGATTTGACCTTTCAATTTGACCTTTCAGCAGTGTTCAAAGAAAAAAAAGCAGATGCTGTGCTTTGTAATTATCAAGTTTAGTTGATAAGTCAACATTCAAACTTTCTAAAGCTCAACAGTGATTTTGTTTTTCAGTTAAAATTGTTAGTTTTCACAGACCAAAGTCAACAGTTTTTGACCTTCTGTGGTGTTTTAGAACCCTGTTGTGCTGAAATTTTGTTAAGAATTACATGGGTGTCTATACTGTGATTACATAGAACCAAAAACAAACATGTGGCTCCTTAAAAACTTCTTTTTCTCCTTTTGGATTATAAAAGTCATGGAGAGTCATTTAGAAACTTGGAAATTCAAAAAAGCATAAAAAAGAAATGCACCACCAGCCATGACATGACTGGGTTCAGATCTAGCTCACCATCTTCTTTGTCTCACTCAGATTGTTGTAACAGCTTCCTAACTGGTTGCTTTCATCTGTACCCATCCCACCAGCCAGAGTCCTGCTGCAATGGCAATCAGATCATGTCATTCATCAGCTCCAAACTTCTGATGCTCCCACATTACTCAGAATAAAAGCCAAATACTTACAAGGGCCTGCAGCCCCTCTATGGCCCCTCTGATGCATCAACCCCCACTGGTTTCTCACTGTCCTCTAATCATGGCACCTGAGTGTTCCGGCTTCTCCGGACCATCTGCCAGGGCATTTGCCCCTAAATATCTGCTAGGCTCCTCCCTTACCTCTCAGGTCTTATTTCAAAAGGCATCTTTTCAGAGAGGGCTTCATGAGTACCTCTGTAAAATCAGGGGTCCTCTTACTCCCCTACCCCCATCCTACTATGCCATTATTATATCGCATATAGTTTATATATTTTGCTTATTATCTGTCTTCTGCTAGAATGTAAGCTCCATAAAGGCAGAACTTTTCTATCTGGCTTTGTTTTCTGCTATATTTGTTTTCTAAAGTGTAACAAATCACTTAAAAATTGAGTTGCTCAAAACAATAGTCATCATTTATTATCTCATAATTTCTGTGGGGATGGACTTTGAAAGGGGCTTGTCTGGATGGATCTGGTTCAGGTCTTTCATGAGGTTTCAGTTAGATGTTGGCCGAGTTGCAGTCGCCTCAAGGCTCAGCTGGGGATGGGGATTGGCTAGCCAAGCACATTGCTCAGGGCTGCCACTGGCACTGGCCACTGCCAAGTACCCGACTCCTTTTAGAAGGACATTTCTGCAGGCCTGAGTGTCCCCATGACATGGAAGCTGACAGCCTCCAGACTGAGGATCCAGGAGAGGAAGACACTGCAATGTCTCTTGTAACTTGGATGCAGAAGTCACGCACTGTCAACTTGCCAGTCCAATTCAGGGAGGAAGGAGATGCCACAAGGGGCTGGCTATGCCCCTGTGCTGGAAACAGTGCCAGCACATAAAGAGAACCCAACAAATATTTTTGAACAATGAAGATACTCCATCACTCAGATTTTTAAAAATAGATTTCTTTGCAGCCTTTTTTTCTATGCAGTATACTATGTTGTTAATGAAAAATGAGAATTATCTCTCTAGATAAAAATTTATAAATATAAACACAAATAAGTGTACTTTTAAATGCAGTATTTCATGTCTTTCTAAAATTACCTCTTTTTGATATACAATAAGTTATTTCAATTCTTACCATTTGCATTTCTGTTTCTAGATTTTTTCTGTTATAACTCCATTATGATGAACACCATTTTAAATAAAGCTTTGTAGGGAGCATGTCTGGGAATATGATGTAAGGTTATGAACATTTATAATATAGCCATAGAATAAGACTGACTTATTTATTGAATCCAGGGAATAATTAACTAAATTCTTTGACAGCTGGATTATTTTGGCCTGAATTATCAGGGCTTTTCAACATTGATCTGATGTCTATACAACTTCACTTCCTTTTAAATAATCTTATCTCCTTTTATTTTTCATACTTTACTTTTGCGATATGCTCAAATAAGATATGAAACACTAAAAATAGGATTTGGACAAATTATTTAAAAACTGTATGAGAAGAAACAGAATAGAAATGTACAATGTAGGGTTTTAGCAATGATTGTATTCTTATCTGACAAAATGTTTGCCTCCAGTTTCTAAAACTGGAATCTGAGAAGTGTCTTGAGCCATGATTCACTGGAGTTACCCTTTCAATTTTGGTCAGAGAATTCTCCTTCTGACATGAAACCTTGGTCATTGAGTAAGTCCTTTGGCCCCTTGGGCCTCTGTGCAATCTGTCAGAGAGATCTCTCCTAGGCAGCTTGCATTATGCATCCCCATGGTAGGGTAACCTGAAGAATGGGGAGGTAAAATAATAGAAACTCCATACGTCAGCTCCATAAAATCAACAGCCTTCACAAGATAGCAAACGATAAGACATTCCTGTGGTTAATAAGTCCCAGCTGTACAAATCACAGGACACAATGAAAGCAAGAAACAGGCACTACTGGAGAGCACCTTGGACTTGGGACTCTGCAGACTGGCACTATGTCCCACTGTGTGGCTGGCCTGTCTGGGTAACTGAGGAATCTTACTCAGCTATTTCTCTGCTTGGTAAAATCAGATGAAAATAGCCAGTTGGGTTCACATTTAGGCTTTCCAAAAGGAGTACTTGGGGAAAATGTGCACCTCAGAGAGCCTGTGCATATGCTCTAATAAAACAGGATCAATTCATCAGTATCAACAACATCACTTTGATTTTCCCTTACTATATTAGTACACTTCATTAAATATTTTTATATGAAAGGTTATAACTTAATGAGTGCAGCTTACAACATAGTGTCTGATGCTTTGAAGAGCTGATTAACCATGTTTGCTGCACAGAGATTGGGCTGGATCCAGTCAGTTCAAGAGTGAAGTGGAGATGATGACCGTGGTCAGGAATCCTGAGTTCACTGGTTAGTGTTAGTCTTTTATTTGTTTGTACTTGATGGTTGTGAATCAGAAAACAGGTTCTTTTTTAAGAAGAAAACCCACAAATAATTATGAAGGGTTATTTAGCAAGTTAATGAGTTAATTGACTCCAAATTTTTTTGAAAAAATTTAATATGTACAGAAAAATTATAAAAATAATCTCTTGAGCATCCACATATCCTTCAGTTGGATCCATCAGTTACTGACCAAGACATGTGAGTCAGTTGCAGGCACCAGGGTACTTCAGCCTGATGGCTTCGGCATTCATATTCTACAGTCTCCCCAGCACATCATGGCACCTACAAATTATCATCAATTCAATGAGGCCACCTACATGCTGTCCATATCAACATTTCTCCAGTTGACCCAAAGCACCTATTTTAGCTTCCCTCCACCCCCTTTACCAGTGTAGGACTTAACTGAGAATCACACATCGTGTTTGGTTTTTATGTATATTTTGTCTCTGAACCTTAGACTGTGTAAATATCCTGTCTGCCTATAACCTTTTATCCAGAAGGTTTAGCTCCCATGACTGAGCTTTGCCTGAACCAGATATTACATTGGC